TGGAGAATCAGGATTGAGAGTTAACTTTTTCTTCCAAGAAGGTCATTGTTAAGAGGAAGACAAAAGTAACTGGAAATGGGAAGCAAGAACAAACATAGTTTGAGCCACAAATGAGTTTCATGGTGCTTCTTTGGTCGTGCAGTTTTATCTGCCACTGCTGCCTCAAATGGTGGGCACCTACCTGGGCTCTTCCTTGGGAGAAGGCAAGCGTGAGGCAGGGAGGGAGGACAGGTTACAGGAGGATGGCCTTGGTGTGCTCGGAATAATTGTCTTAGAAGTGTGTAATTAACAAACTCTTGAGTTTGCCTACAATTTAGATATCACTTGTGGTTCATCTCCAGCCTGATCCGGTTATTCCACTAACTCAGGACATCACTGTTCACAGTGATTGACCCAAATGATCAATAGTGAGCTTAGGCTGGGGAAGGGAAACTGAGAAATAGTTTGTAGCTGGTTGGTTCACTCACCTGTTTGTCATTTATTCAACATATACCCACTTACTAAGCTCTAATGCTATTCCAGGCAGCCTGTTAGCAGCTGGGCGTGTCCCTGTAAACAAGCCAGACATGGTGCCCACCCACACGAAACCTGGAGCCTAAGGGTCATGGTTGACTTCCTCTCCAGGCAGACGCTACCCCAGTAGGAAGATGGATTCGTGGGCTGGTTGTGCAGACATTCTGCTTCTAGGGAGTCCCCTCCTTGCACAGATCCCCAGGGAAAAGGTGAGGGCACTGTGCTGGAGGGCAGGAGCTTGCATGCCCTGTGCAAGGCTAATGTCTGCACTGTGTGCTCTGGCTCCAGTGTGGACAGCCCATTCCTGTGTCAGCCGCTACCAGGGCCTCTTCTGGGAAACACATGTGTGTGCTGCCAGTGACTCAAGATCTTTCCCAAGAGAGCAAACAGTTCTAAAGCTGTGTGCTTATTTTATGCCCACTGCTATTGGAGGCCTTAATTCCACTAGCAATACCAGAACTTGTGATTTAATTCAAAATTTGCAGCAGAGCAGGTCTGGTCCAATGGGCAAAGTCTGTTCTTCATGGTAACAGGCATAGTGATTGTACTAAGTTGAAAAAGTTTGAGGGGCCAGCGCTGTGGTACAACAGGTTAATGCCCTGGCCTGAAGCACTGGCATCCCATATGGATGCCGGTTCAAGGCCCGGCTGCTCCACTTCCGATCCGGCTCTCTGCCCTGGCCTGGGAAAGCAGTAGAAGATGTCCCAAGTCCTTGGGCCCCTGCACCTGCATGGGAGACCCAGAAGAAGCTCCTGGCTCCTGGCTTCAGGTCGGCACAGCTCTGGCCATTGAAGCCAATTGGGGACTGAGCTGACGGAGGGAAGACCTCTCTCTCCCTCTTTCTCTCTCTCCCTCTGCCTCTGCCTCTCCTCTCTGTGTAACTCTGACTTTCAAATAAATAAATAAATCTTTAAAAAATTTTTTGAAGCTTTTTAAACTTCTAATTTATGGCACAACCCAGCAAAGAGCACATTTGCAGTTATAATCTATTGATTCATGCAAAAGGAATTGCTATAGAGAAAAGAAAAAATATAATTTATTTTTTCAGAGTCTAGTCGCATGAAAAATTGAGCATTACTAAAAACAAACAATAATTAGATTTTTTTACTTTTGTTTTGCTTGTTTTTTTATTGCTGATCACCAAAATTATGACATGCATCAGATTTGCACCAGACAGAATCTCCGTCAAGCTCAGAGACATACAAGGACATTTTCTGCCTGCATTTTCAGACTTCTGAAACAAGATGTTTTTCAAAGTGAAATAATTCTACAAAACATTTTTGTTTGTGACTGCTGCTGGCATCTTTCTAATAGAATATTCCATTGACATGAAATAACATCACCTCCATGACTTGCTCCGTAGGAAATCAGGAAGAGAACTGCTCACTGGCTCCCCAGGAGCAGTGCGCAGAATTGTTCATGTTCATCTGAGGCACTGCATCGGGCATCTCAGTTCCTTCCTGGTTCTAGGATGGACTGTTGAGGCTGCAGCCATGTTTCTAATGCTTGACTTGTCAGGGGAGCAGGAAATCGCTTTTGAACCTGCTTCCCAAAGGGCAGAGAACCAAATCCTGCACAGCTGAGCTCACAGAAAGAAGCTGGGAAGTGACGTGTCTCATTTCTTTTTCTTTTTGAGCCATTTGTACAACCACCAACTCCTTTCCCAGGCTAGGCTAAAGTGCCCTGAGAATCATCCTTGTATGGCCAGCTGGGTCCACAAAGCATTATTAATTGACTGTGGTTCGTGCTATGCTGCATGCAGAGGCCCACAGGGTCTGCTGAACAGTGGAAGGATCTGTATGCATCAGGGCTTCCCTGCCTACACTGCACGTACCCTCTTCCATCACTGCCAGTCTGGGTGGACAAAGGGACCATGTCACAGTTCCCCACCTTGTCTCACTTAGGGTTCCTAGTCTGTGCTGTGTTGCTCCCATGCCAAATCCCCTCAGAGTCTCACTTTTAGGCTCAGAAACATCTGTGGATTGATTTATTGGCGTGGAGGTTTTCCTGTTCTCATGAACGTGATTAAAGTAAACGGGCCTGGGTCTTTTTCTTGCCCCCTTCATTTCATCTGAGAAACAACAGGGATCTATTGGTGAGACCTCACATCTCAAGCCTGACAGGTTGTCTCTGCCTCTACCATATGCCACCTCCATGGTTCTTTGTCCTGTGTAGCTATTCAGCCTCGCGAGTATTTGCCAAAGCAATAGCTGTTCTTAAACTATGGGCTGTGACTCAGCTTGCCCTGTTTCTTTAAGCTGGTGATTTCTGATTCTGCAGCTCAGTTCTTAACGTACATGTACTATATGCCAGGCACTGTGAGCATATCAGGTCACAGGGCAGAGGGGGCCCCCTGCCTTGTGGAGCTTACTTCCTCTTGATCTCATACTATGGGATTCGCTCAGAGGCAGCACTGGGGCTTCCTCCGGGAAGTCTTCCGTGATCCGCCCCCTCCTGTGTCTCCATCTTCTTAACCCCTATCTAGGTTTGTACCTTGCCTGTAGTATCTGATAATCCTGCGATCCAGAAAACACTCTGTGGTAGGTCTCATGGCTGAAGAAACAAGTGGTTATTTATCTCTGTCCAGTGCAAGTGCTGTGCTTGGCACTGAGTCACAACCCGGTAAAACGACTCTGAAATCTGCCACCTGCTGCAGAGCACAGTGTCCTGCTAATAGTTGATGCTAAAAATAAAATACTAGTTGAATAAATTACCATCTGCCTGTGATTATCCAAACCCTCACTTTCATTTGTCCTTCCTGTTGTCACTACATCAAGAGTGCCTGAGGCTGGGGACTGTGTCTCCCTCACTTGCCCTTTAACCCAAGCGAGCACCCAAGAAGGTTCCTAGGAATAAGGTTGACTTGATGATGTCATTCTATCCTACCTCATCCAGATTGTTCCTAGGAAAAATGAGACTGGTGTGGAAATGTTTAATAACTCTTCATTTAAAAGTAAATTTAAAGTATTGTGAAAAAAATATACTTAAATGTACCATACACACATGTAACATACATGCATCCATGGGGGAAGAGCACAGTGGTGGTGATTACTCTTTAACAGATACTGGTTTGTTTTGAACCAAAGTCTGCCTCTGAGAAAATAAATACATTTCTAAGAATGACTGATTTCTCCTGAAAACACATTATCTATTTACGAAAATTATACCCTGTACCAACCTGCACCGTGGGTGGAGGAAAGTGTGGGATGGCAGTTAGACGGGCACCACTGTCTAATCCTGGCGTCTGGAGCATGTAGTGGGCACCTGCTGGTTACTGGACATTGCGTCATGGCCCCAGGCGTGGGCTCTGCTGAAACTTCTGACCGCAGTACCCGGTGGTCTCCAGTGCCGCAGAGGGGAATCTGCTTCATTAGTCCTGTGTCTGAGTGAAAGACTGTTTCCAAAGGTTCGTTTTAGTGTATTTTTAAGACTAAAAAAGATTTAAGAAAATAGCAAGCATAGTGGCTGACTGTGACCTTCCTCATTCCAACTAAAGCATTTTGGTCCCTGTCACGGTGCTGGAGCCTTTCCTCACGTTCTTGGGAAGGGGGCCGCACAGTGTGCGCGGCTGTTTTCAGGTTGGGAAGCAGCACCTCGCATATCTCCGTGAGTCTGTCAGGTCTGCTGTTGCAGAGCAGTCATCAACCCAGCGTGGACTGCATTTAATTTTTAAGATCCACTGAGAAGCTTGGTTTGGATATGATTTCTGTAAGATATTTTGACTGTTTGAGGAAGACTCCTTCTCCTCTGATTGATTTTAAAACATGCTGTTGCTTTGTGTCCCTCTTTGATGTGTCTGTCCCAACATGACAGATGACTTTGTGGAGGCTGCAGGTGAAGCCGCCATGGACCTGTGTGGTCCAGCTGCTGACCTGGCTCTCCAGGTGACCACCCTGCTGTGCCTTCTTCCATGGCTACTGGTGTCTCCAGCTGGGTGTTGTATGTGACAAAGTCTGGCCAGGGCAAATCTGTGCTATTTTTTATAGTTGCAATTACAACGTTGTATTTGCTGGCTATGGGTCAAATGAACACATTTTTCAAACAGATAAGTATGTCTGTTTATGTAGCTAAAACATATTTTTCTTTAAAATTGTCTTCTTGGCTTTTACTGATCAAGGAAATGGGCAAAGATAATTTTATGAGTGTGTCCTTTAGTGTCTGTGATACTGTAAATGATTTGTGACACTTCTATCACGATGGTGCTGCTGGCACTCAGGATTGGTGATTCAGATGTCTCTGGAGGCACAGTGCATCTTGAGAAAACTCGTATCTGGCAAAAACCCAGGTTTGATAAACTTTAAGAAGTGTGTCTGTGAGAGAGAAGGATTGGCTCAATCTTGTAAAGCCAACAGGCAAAGCTTCTGGGATCCAACTGAGCTTCCCACACAATGTGGGGGACTAACACGGGCAGCAGATGGCATGACCTTTGGCCCCGGGAGTGACTGCACATCATTAGTAAAGCTCCCTCTTTGTTCTCATCCCACCAGACTCGTTGTCCGTGTCCAGTAACGATGCCAGTCCTCCTGCTTCCGTCGCATCCCTGCAGCCCCACATGATCGGGGTCCAGAGTTCACCAGGCCCCAAGCGGCCAGGAAACACCCTGCGCAAGTGGCTCACCAGCCCTGTGCGGCGGCTCAGCAGCGGCAAGGCCGATGGGCACGTAAAGAAGCTGGCTCACAAGCACAAGAAGAGCAGGGAGGTCCGCAAGAGCGCCGACGCTGGCTCACAGAAGGACTCCGACGACAGCGCCGCCACTCCGCAGGACGAGACCGTGGAAGAGGTATGTCCCTAAACCAGGGGAGGCCAAAGGATGCTCCCAACATGTGCTTTTCTGAGTTTTCTTTCAAGTTGCAGGACTAGCTGCTTGTCTTAGGAACGGACTAATCTTGTGCTGTTCTCTGTGTTTCGCTGGACACAGCAGCATCAGATGTCCTCATTCACGTCTTTGCTTAGCATGCTGTGCAGTTAAGCGAGAACAGCTTAAAAGATGACTGGACAGCTGCTCCTCAGTGAACCTGGTCAGATCACACAGGGCTTCTGCACTCTCCCAGGCTGCTGAGTAGGAAGTTCTGGGCTGCAGCCCTCTCTGCTCACTCCACCTCGTGGCAAGGCCCCAGGCCCTGGGTTGTGTTGCAGAAGATGGGAGCAGGCCCTGAGGTTAGTGCTAAACACTAGAAGATTTCACATAGAAAGCCCAGTCTTAATCTGGCAAGATTTATAGTAGATTTACATCCTCCAGTTATTTTTCCCCAAGATTTACACTTATACTTATCCTGAGCGGAAAACATCAGGTTAACCTGCCTTGCCGACCAAGTAACACTGGGTTGTTCCCATGTCACCAAAGGTACAATGCTGTAGGTAAGCCAGAAATTTTTTTCTATTTCCTTTTCTCCAGACGGGTTTTAAATTACACTGCAGAAAACAGAATTCTTTGGTGATCCTCCAGATAGCCTTTAGCACAGGAGGTGTCAGAGGCCTCCAGAGTTTTAACTTGGACCCCCCACACCCAAATCCCACACAAGCTCAAACAGCAGAGCAAGGAGAGACAGGACTAGCTTTGTGTCATTTCATGTACCGGACAGATGTGTGTTTTCTCCATTTTCACTGTGCTGTGTGGGCCCTTAGGCCCGAAAGAGTCTGTTTTGTAAATCTGTGTCCTCTGGGTGGAACAGTTATTCCCCTAAAAGCAAGAACAGAGGTAAATGAATAGGATGCTTAAAATGCAGATTCATGGCCGGCGCCGCAGCTCAATAGGCTAATCCTCCGCCTAATGGCGCCGGCACACCGCGTTCTAGTCCCATTCGGGGCACCGGATTCTGTCCCGGTTGCCCCTCTTCCAGGCCAGCTCTCTGCTGTGGCCCGGGAGGGCAGTGGAGGATGGCCTAAGTGCTTGGGCCCTGCACCCAATGGGAGACCAGGAGAAGCACCCGGCTCCTGGCTCCTGCCTTCAGATAGGCGCGGTGCACCGGCCACAGCGCACCGGCCACGGCGGCCATTGGAGGGTGAACCAACGGCAAAAGGAAGACCTTTCTCTCTCTCTCTCTCTCTCTCTCTGTCCACTCTGCCTGTAAAATAAAATAAAATAAAATAAAATAAAATAAAATAAAATACAGATTCATAAAATGCATCTCAGTTTGCATTTTTCTTTATGCCCTCATTTTCTCAGTGATTTTTCCTTTAGCAAGGTACCAATCCTGAAACCAGCTTGACCTAAGGAAGTGAATGAACATGAGGGGCATAGTGCAAGTTTTCAAACTGTTTTGTTGTTGTTGGTTTCTTGAAGATGAGGTGTGTTCAGAGCCTCGTGGGTGATTGGCAGCACCTCAAAGAACACCTTCATGGCTGTGTCTCATCTAGTGAGCAGGCTGGGAATGAAAAGTTGCCATTAAGGTCAAAAAGAACTTTTCCTGGTTTCTGCCATCCCACTGTCCATCCTCATCAGGGTCTAGGGCCCATGCCATTGGCAGTCAGTGGTCTGGAATGCAACGAGCAAATGTTGACTTGATTTCAGAGGGGCCGGAACGAGGGTCTCAGCAGTGGCACACTCTCGAAATCCTCCTCCTCGGGCATGCAGAGCTGCGGCGAAGAAGAAGGGGAGGAGGGGGCTGATGCCGTGCCCCTGCCCCCGCCCATGGCCATCCAGCAGCACAGCCTCCTCCAGCCAGACTCGCAGGATGACAAGGTAAGGGGGCCTGGGATGCCTGTGCCAGGGCAGTCACCCTTTCAGGAACTGCTCCACTCCAGCCACATCGCAGAAGATAGGAGACTCTATGGGACAGACAGTCTCTGGGTGGCCTGGTGCTTTCGCAGGCACAGGCAGCCGTTCTACCCAAAAGTATGAATGACAAATCCTTTGAGAATAAGCAGTAGGCCAATATGTGCAGTCTTTTGCATATAATTATATTGAATGTATTTTTAATAGTGCTTCAGTAATTGCTACTTTTAATGTAATTTTTAGTTTCCTAATATATTGATTAGAGTCCTTCAGAGAACAATCAGAAAAACCCCAGAAGTTTGCCTGCATGTGGCAGAAGATGAATAGTAGGCCCTCTGGCTCCCTCTGTGAGATGGTTTTACACACAGTTTTTGTTTTAAAGCAAGACTTAGTTGTGGTCCAGTTACCTTGTCCAGCGTGACGTACATTAGTTTGTAGGATCAGGACAGGGCATAGTTATCCGAGCATAGCAATCTCTTGAATGCTGAGAGCCTCCTCTTAGGATACAGACACCAGCTTCAAGCCAACCAATTATTTTTTCTTGAGTTCTTATAATCTAAAATCGTTTTGTACATCCCAATTGTAAGACCCTAAAAGTAAAATATCAGAATGGAAACCTGATAAATGAGCTTGCAGTCCTCTCTAACATTCTGGTCCCACTGTGCCCCCTGAAAATTGTAAGGTGTTGGAAATCATGCTAGAAATTATCATTGGTGGCTTTTTTTTTTTTTTTTTGCAGTAACTAGGTTTTCTGACTAAAATAGATGTGTTTTCAACATTTTTTTCTTCCATTCTTTGCCTTTTTTCCTTCACTAACTCCCTTGTAATTTTAGACACAGTAACTTAGTAGGTCAGTTTTCCTGTGTTTTATGACCCAGGACCTGCCACAGCTGCAAGGTCACGCCCCATCTCACATTAGTCTTTGCACTCAGCATGCATTGCCACAGCACTCTTGTGTCTCTTTGTGACACAAGAGTGCTGTCCACGCAGTCCACAGTAAGAGTGCTGTGAGCTACAGAACCTAGCATAGAGGTTGCATCCCAGCATCTCATGTGTATATGATGTGCAGGCACCACACTGAGGGGAGAGGAAAAGCAGCAGGAACCTGAGCTGAGGGGGCCTCAGCCCCCTCACATGCAGTAACAAGCCAGGAAATAGGGGCTGTGTGGTTTTCCCAACTCCTGAGCTGTTTGGTCACCCTCTAAACTATACTGTTTTTCAAAGCAGAAAATTGAAATTTATTAGATCTGGGTGTTTATGCTGAGAGTAAGGGACTGGGCCCTATTGACTTACTCATCAGACAAGGACATATTTTTTCCCATTGAAAGTATGAATTGCATATATTCTTCTGATTGCTGGAGTCATTTATTGGTAATTGTGTTATGTCATTGGGTATTATGTTATCTCACTGGGTATCAATGGCGATTCTTCATTTACAAAAATCTGTAGTGATGTTCCATGACAGTATATTATCTTGTGACTAATTTTTTGTTTTGTTTTGTTTTCTCTTTCTGTGAACTCCGCTGCAGCATTATGTTGATTTGTGCTCTGTGTCTGTTTTGGCTCAGTTTCCATACCTTTCCATTTGACTTTTCTTTTCCTTTGCTTTCTTCACCCCATATTCCAAATTTCATTAGACAAACGTTTGTTTTGCAAAGTACATATTTTGACCCACATTTGTAACAGCCTTGTTGTAAACATATGAATCTGTACCTGTCTGTCGTGAGAAATGCATCACGAGAACAGCTGGCCATGTGTCGCATGCATGTCTGCTGTCCCTAATATGAAACAAGGTTCATATTACACCCCCTTCTAATTCCCAGTTAATTAATGGTGCAAGTAATCTGCAAACACACTGTTTGCTAATTACTGAAACTTGAACTCAGTAGCCCCTCCCCCAGATTTCCTTATTGTCAACCCCTTTACGCCCTTGATTCTAGCCATAAGTGGCATCTGATAGCTTGTGAGGCCTCAGCTCTTCCGTACTCTGCACTAATCATTGGGGAAATGGATGGCACAGAAAATGGTGAGCTTGTCCCCCTCTCCTCCCTGTCTGGTCACCGTACCCTGGCTCCTTTCCTTTTCTTTCTCATTTCTTACTTTCTTAATCCCATAAACACAGTAAGCCATTTTTAGTATCTTGTTTTGTTTCCTGATTATTTAAGGACTCGCTGTTGAGCCCTCCAGCCTCTCATTCTTCTGTTGATCAGATTCTGTTTTTTTCTCCTTGACCTAGAGCCTAGCCAGCAGTTGGGAAAGTTACGGTTAGGATACCCCTGCCCAGTCACCTCTCTGAGAAACATGGTGATGTTACTTGACTGCGGATTGAAAACAGACACTGTCTGCTTTCCACATGTATCCCAGACAGGTTTTATTTAATGTTTCATGTCAGAATATTGTAAATTTAAAAGGACGATTTTAAATAAATTCAAACAAAGACAAACTTGTGGTCTTTCTGTCTGGAATTACTTTTTAAAAAGAGACGGAGCTTGCAGAGGAATTTTCTAAGTGTCCACTTACTAACAGGAGGCCTCCCCTCCCCCCTCTTTTTCTTCACTTCCACAGGCCTCATCTCGGTTGTTAGTGCGTCCAACCAGCTCCGAAACACCGAGTGCGGCTGAGCTTGTCAGTGCAATCGAGGAGCTCGTGAAAAGCAAGATGGTAAGGCTTCCCACACCAAGTCTTGGGCTTGGAAGGTGTTCACATGTGCTCCTTGCTGGCGGCCTTGCCCCTGGTCGTGTATTACTCTGACCTGCAGAATGTGGCTTTGGTATACGCATCAACTTCAGGTTCACTAACTTGTTTGAAGGACTCAGAGAACTCAGAAAAGCTGTCACTCCCACAGTTGTGGGTTATTACATGAAAGGCCACAGATTCAAGTCAGCCAAGGGAAGAGGTGCGTACTGCAGGGTTCAGGCATCAGTTTCCTCTCCCAGTGGAGTCAACGCAGGCAGTGCTGACTTCTCTCAGCGGTGATGCGTGATGATGCATGCGGAGAATGGCCAACTGTGGCCACTCAACCTGAGCCTCTGTGGCAGAGTTTCTATTTGGGCTCGGCCACTAACAGTTGGTCCACTGCTTACCTGGCTGACGCTAGTGGCTTGCCTCTACAAAGAGCAAGCCACTGCATGCCCCAGAGTCCCCACCCCAGGTCTCAGTCATAGCTCAGGCAGGATATTCCAGAGGTTTCCTCTCTCCCTGGAGCTGAGGGTACCCCTCTCTTGGGGCAAGGCGATTGCAGGCATAGCCAAGTGTGGTCATCAGCAGTCCTGTCAAAGGTGCCTCCAGAGTCGTTGTATTCACAGACACATTCACAGCTTTCTTTTGCTGGCTCTCCAATCTTTTGTTTATTATTTAATGGTTTTATTTTCTTAATGGCCTTTGTTTTGCTGGTTAGTCAACATGAATTCACTCAATAAAAGCCTCAAAACAAATATTGATTCTTTGAAGTTAGACGGGCATGCATTGCTTCTAATGGATTTAAATCAATTAATTTGTTTCTTTGGTTTTCCTATGCAATGGAAATGACACTGATTGTAACAAGTTTTTAGGCTAGAGTGTCCTACTGCCCCTGTACAGGTGTTGGATCTTTTAAAAGCCACCCTCCCAAAGGAAAACTCAGAGGCAACCACTGAGAACAGCTTGATATGTTTTCCTACAGGCTCCTTGCTGGGGCACCCTTATGTGGAGGGTGTGTACGTGTTCGTGCTCTGTGTCTGACTCAGACAACATAGGATCTTCTCATGTCAGGACATGAGATTACCTCTTTTCTCTTAATAACTGTGTATCATTTCATCAATTAACTGTGTATTTCATTATGTGATAATAATACCACTGAGGACTTACTCTAAATCAACCACTATTCTAAGTGTTGAGCATGCATTAATTTATATACTCCTACAACATCCCCGTGAGGGAGCATGTGCTTTCTTTTATTATCCTACTTTACAGATTAAGAAACTGAGGCACACAGGAAGCTATGATTATACTATAATATATTTAAACAGGCCGGCGCCACGGCTCACTAGGCTAATCCTCCGCCTGCGGCGCTGGCACCACAGGTTCTAGTCCCGGTTGGGGCACCAGTCCTGTCCCAGTTGTTCCTCTTCTAGTCCAGCTCTCTGCTGTGGCCCGAGAAGGCAGTTGAGGATGGCCCAAGTGCCTGGGCCCTGCTCCTGCATGGGACACCAGGAGGAAGCACCTGGCTCCTGACTTCTGGCTTCAGATTGGCGCAGCGTGGCAGCCATTTGTGGGGTGAACCAACAGAAGGAAGACCTTTCTCTCTGTCTCTCTCTCTCTTACTGTCTAACTCTGCCTGACAAACCCTTACTATATATATTTGTTTCCAGTTTTTCACTATTATAAGTGTCCATGTATATGATTATGTCTGTAGAATAAATTTGCAGTATTGGATTTGATCAAATTGTATTCTTTTTTATTTTTAAGGATTTGTTAATTTGAAAGTCAGAGTCAGAGAGAGAGAGGCAGACAGAGATCTCTTATCTGCTGGTTCACTCTCCTAATGGCAACCACAGTGGGGACTAGGTGAGGCAGGAGCAAGGAGCTTCATCCAAGTCTCCCAAGTGGGTGCAGGTGCCCAAGTACTTGGACCATCTTCTGCTGCTGTCTCTAGCACATTAGCAGGGAGCCGGACTTGAAGTGGAGCAACTGGGACTGGCCAGTGCTCAAATGGAGTGCCAGCATTGCAGGTGGCAGCTTAACCCACTGCACCACAATGCCAGCCCCTCAAATGCTATTCTTTTTTTTTTTTTTTTTTTTGAATGGCTGAGATATAAAGAAAGAGAAGGAAAGAGAAAGAGATCTTCCATCTGCTGATTCACTCCCCAAATGGCCTCAATGGCTGGGGCTGGGCCAGGCTGAAGCCAAGCTGTAGCACCTTTATAATTATATATTATAATTAGATTTGAACACTGAATTGTTTATTGGAAGTTACATATTAATTTTTTGGATTGGCAAAGAGAGGGAAAGGGATGTTCAACTGTTAGGTATTGTTTTATACAAGGAACTGAACCTATCTTCCTGTAAAAGCTAAGAATTCAGTGTAACAAACAAAAGCCACACTAAAGCCTGTCTCCTGGAAGTTTTTCCCATCCTACCTCCATATTTTTAGTGAAACTGGATATTTTAAAGGTTGTTCATCTTTTCTGGGCATTGGCAATAGATAGAGTAATAGTAGCCTCTTGCCACAGTGACTATTTGAACTTAGCTTTGGGGTTTTCTTCTCTTCATTGACCAAGATATAAAGGGAGATACAAGAAACAATGAAAATCAGAGTAACATATAATTACAGATATAATAAGAACAACAAAATAAACCAAAGAAAAATAAGGCATTAATTGTAGGGATGAAAGCAGAAAGTAGTGAGTTAGAAAACAATAGAATAGTACATACAACCAAAAATTTGTGTTTTTTTTTTTTTTTAATTTATTTGACAGATAGAGTTAGACAGTGAGGGAGAGACAGAGAGAAAGGTCTTCCTTCATTGGTTCATCCCCCAAATGGCCACCACGGCCGGAGCTATGCTGATCTGAAGCCAGGAGCCAGGTACTTCTTCCTGGTCTCCGACATGGGTGCAGGGGCCAAAGCACTTGAGCCATCCTCCACTGCCTTCCCAGGCCACAGCAGAGAGCTAGACTGGAAGAGGAGCAACCAGGACTAGAACCCGGTGCCCATATGGGATGCCAGCACCGCAGGCAGAGGATTAACCAAGTGAGCTACGGTGCCAGCCCCCAAAAATTTGTTTTTTAAATAAATACAGGTACTAGACAACCTTTTCAAGAGAATGGAAAGCACAAATCACACAATAAAGCATAAGGGAGGAATGAACAGATGAAATTCAAACATTTTTGAACTCTTTGAAATCTGGGTAAAAATGGGCAGTTTCCTAAGATAGTACGAGTTAATGAAACTAACCTCAGAAAAAATAGAGTATCTGTGCAGAACTATCCTCATAAAAGGAATAGAGAAAATTGGAAAGGACCTACCCACGAAAGATAACCAAACCCGGAGAGTTTGGCAAATACAAATAATCATCCTCATTCTGCCAAGTCCCAGTACAGGTGTCTAGCGGCAGTATTTTCCTGGTGAGAGCCTTTTCACTTAAACACATTTGTGTAATAGGCACTTGGGCAGCATGGAGAGAGAGTGAATGGCATGACTGGAACAAGAACGTGTGGCTGTGGTCAGGACTGCATTCTTGTCAGTGCATCTGTCCCCACCTTGGTCAGGACACATCATGTCTGAGCACAAGCATCCAAGGGAGCCTTGAGACACCATTGTTTCCCGTCCAGCCAGCCATTCCTGGGTGTAGAAGACAGGACCCCCAGGGACATCCAACCAGCCATAACATTACTGCCTCACTCCTTCCTCTGCCTAAGGGGAACATCTGGAACCTTTTTCTTTCTTTTCTTTCTGTTCTCACTGTTCAAGTGAACAGAATTCAATCTAACAAGCGTCAGCTGGCCAGATGGGAGACAGCCTCACTCCTCCCCTCACTCCCAGCCTGGAGCCCCTCTGTCAAACAATGACCTGATCGGAGCAGCACAAAGCACTCTGTGCTATTTATGGCAGAATGTTTGCTTCCAGTAAAGGTCAATAGCTATTTGTTTATTTTTAAAAATGCAGTTTTTTGGATCAAACTCTGGTCCTCAACTAACTTAATGCCCTGTTTCTCATAAATGAGAGCAGCAGTTGATGTGTTTTACAGCTCTGTGCGGTTTAACAAAACTGCATGTCATGTACAGACTTGGTGTCCCCAAAGCTCTGCTGAAGTCACAGTCAGTCCGTTACCATGAGGGAGAGCAGAGGACAAGTGTTAGAGAAACAAAGTTAATACATGCCAAGTAGAAAGTAATCTCACAGTAATCCAGAGAGGGGGTTATCAATATTCAACTCATAGATTAATTAAACAATGAAAACACTGGCCTGCAGAAACCGAAGTCCAGGTCCAGTGTGGGAGAGAGTTTTGGAGAAACAATGAGACTAGCATTATAAGTACTTCCTATATGAGAGAGAGAAAGGAAATTTTAGGAGGGAGATTAATTTCAGCTAGACTCCACAGATAATCAAAAGGCAAACCAAACTTGTTTATAGATTGTTGATGTGGCCACAGTACTCAGCAACAAGGGGCAGACACACTGTGTCCAGGGACTATACTGACCTGATCCAGACATTTGTGAAAATGCTCTTGCTTTTATTTGGCCAGAATGTAATCAGAATGCAAGATTTGAAATATGTAGGACCTTCAGAAATGGGGGCATGCTCTGACACAAGCAAATTGTTTCATGTCTAATTATTTGATAATAGGGAAAAGAAAATACTAATGTAATGTAGTTTTACTCTCCTCATCATTCTGCCTTTCCTCTTGTATCCAGGTCTTCTAACTTTTTTTATTAATAGTAAAATTGTCATGTCATTAAATATTATCTAATTTCACAATCATGCTGATTTTATAATTTAACAAACACATCTTCTGTGTTTTCTGGCCTAGAAGTTTTCTTACCCAGTTCCAGTCTATCGTGGATCATGGGCAGTGAGCATTCTTGCCAATCTCATTTCTTCCAGGCACTGGAGGATCGTCCTAGCTCACTCCTTGTTGACCAAGGAGACAGCAGCAGCCCTTCCTTCAACCCTTCGGACAACTCCCTTCTCTCTTCCTCCTCGCCCATTGATGAGATGGAAGAACGGAAATCCAGCTCTTTAAAGAGAAGGCAGTAAGACTAACATGCTCTCATGCTCTCTGGCATCCCTCCTTTATCACCTTCCAAAACGTGAATGGGACTCGTCGCTGAATTCACCCAATGAGGAGAGACTCGAGGTCTCTTGTTGGAAAACTGTATGTGGGAGGAGTGGAAGGTAGCGGGGAGGGCCCCACTCAGAACCTCTGAAGGCCTCAGTAAGTCATACATGCAATTGCTGTTGTGTCATTGGTATATTATACTTTATAAACAAGAATGTCTTCTGTCACTAGTGGTGAGAAGTGCCTTTACTTCCTATTGTATACATATTTGTGAAAGTAAAAGAAGGTAACATAAAATCAGAATCAGGCCAGCGCTGCAGCTCAATAGGTTAATCTTCCGCCTTCAGTGTCAGCACACCGGGTTCTAGTCCCGGTCAGGGCACTGGATTCTGTCCCGGTTGCCCCTCTTCCAGTCCAGCTCTCTGCTATGGCCCGGGAGTACAGTGGAGGATGGCCCAAGTGCTTGGGCCCTGCACCCGCATGGGAGACCAGGATAAGCACCTGGCTCCTGCCTTCAGATCATTGCAGTGTGCCAGCCGCAGCGCACTGGCTGCAGCAGCCATGGGAGGGTGAACCAACGGTAAAGGAAGACCTTTCCCTCTGTTCTCTCTCACTGTCCACTCTGCCTGTAAAAAAAATTTTTTTAAATCAGAATCAGTACCAGAAAGTTACATACTTTTGTAGCATAACTTTAGTTGTAGGGTTTGTCAATTCCTGAGAAGAAAGCCTCCTGAAAAATACTGTGGAAAGTTTAAACTTGCCTTTGGGGAGAAGAGGGAAAATTGTCAGCCAATGAGAGTGGAGAGCAGGTTTCATTCAGTGCTGGGCACAGGGGAAGTACAACGTGGATGTTGGTCAGATGAACGGCTGGATGGCTGGATGGGTGAGCGAGTAAATGAATGAAACGTTTCAGACCAATTGAGATTATTTGCTGTACTGAGCAAATGATTATATTCTGTAGTCTGAATGGCCTTAAATAGTTACTAAACTTCACAACATAAAAACTCCCAAGTGAAGGGTTCAGAACCAAGATTTTAAACATCTGAATTAAAATGTTTTCTTGGGTGTCCAGTTGCACTTCAAACAACTTAATTATTTTAACAAAAGAAAACTACTTCTTGTAATGTCCTGCATTTGTAACAAACACAGTTACATAAAAGCTCCCCTTTGCTGCCATATATTCATCAGAATACAGTTCACCCTGATGGCACCCATGTGTTCCAGTATCTTTTGCCTTGTGGAGAGTTCATGGGTCATTCATTTGAACTTGTGATTTGGGACCATGAGGAATTTAAGGCCCAGATGCACCAACTTGTTACTATATTGTGGGGAGCAAACCGGACTAGACTGAGTTACTGGAATTAAGACTTATTCTATGCATCTGCTCTCCCACAATATGGCGCTGGGAGAGAAGTAAACAGCTTCCGCACAGCTGCCTCCAGTTCAACCAATTAACTGTAGGACTTGCTCCTGATTGGAGAGCAGCGTACTCGGCGTGTGGGCAGCCGAGTTGGGATTGGCGGAGGAGGACTATAAAGGAGGAGAGAGACGGCATGCACCAGGAACATCTATGGGGAACATCTATGGGGAACATCTAGCTGAAGGAACACCCGTGCAGCCCCCGAGAGAGCCGGCCGGCGGTGTGCCGCTCCCCTGCGGAAGTGGGGAATGTGGCCAGGGGGAACTGCCCTTCCACGGAGGTGGAAGGGATAGTAGCCAACCCGGGAAGAACCAGCAGCAAACCCGGGGAGGGCCGAGCAGACGAAAGAACAGCGCAGGGTCCTGTGTCGTTCCTCCACGAAGAGGGGGAGCGACACTATATTACTGTGTAGTCCCAGGAATCTGTTTTGACAAAAGACAAGTACAAAAAGAATTCATTTAGAAAACAGAGTTTATATGATAAACTCTGTGTTTTTTTTTTCTCTTTCCAGCTACGTTTTGCAAGAATTAGTGGAGACAGAGCGTGACTATGTACGAGACCTTGGCTATGTGGTAGAGGTACGTATTATCAGAGACTAAATAACCTTGTATCTCCCCAAGAATTGTCCCAAAGAAATATCAGTTTAGACAGCTTAATACTGATACCTTCTCAGAAACTTTAAAAAACATTTTGAGGGGGCAGATGTTTGATACAACAATTAAGACAACACTTGGGGTGCCCATAACCCATATTGACCAGCCTGGTTCAAGTCACAGCTCCTCCACTTTTGATCCAGGTTGCACACCTGGGTGGCAGCATTTGATGGCTCAAGTACTTGGACCCCTGCCATCCACATGAGAGTCCTAGATTGAATTCCAAACTCCTGGCTTCTGCCTAGCCGAGCTTTGGCTATTGTAAGCATCTGGGGAGTGAACCAGCAGATGGAAGATATGCCTCTCTCTCTGCCTTTCAAATAAAATGAAAATAAATAAAAGCTTAAAAGGAAACCCAAGGAAGTATTTCTAAGAAATAAAATTTAGCCATTTATCTTAATAATCTGTATTTAGTTCTAAATAGTTCTTTTTTTTGCATAGTGCATCTTGACGTACTTTTTTTTTAACCAGTGAGTTTTTAACGATTATATCCAATCATAATATTTATTAGATTGGAACCTTGCCTTTAATTATTTCACAAGTGTGGCATCACTACAGAAATGAAAACATTACTGGCTGAAAAAGTCCATGAATTCCAGCTGCAGATTCAGCACCATTCTGAGTTTACTTGAAGTCAGACTTTGTCATGTGGTGACAGCAGATCATTTTCTGATGGCTTTGCCCAGGTGAAATGCATCACTATTTTCATTGACTGGAAGTTGCCAGGTATGGCGTAGGCATAACCAGGTCACTGCCTTTTGTACTGAATCAGGAACCATTTCCAGACTTATCCCTACAGTTAAGTTCAGGACATATTAATAAAGTCAACTCATCAAAAAGCTGTTTCATAGTATAAAATGTTATTTAATATTTCAGCTTTACAAATATGAGTAAGGCAATAGCTTTGAAGTATACATCCCATTAAAAGTAATAAGTGTACAAAAAATTGTGTAGTGTAAGAGATTCAACACACTTGATTGTCTGCAGGCATCTTTGGCAACACAATAAGTAACTTGAATGCTTAAGAGATTCTTTTACAGCAGAGTTTAATAGAAGTTTTCTTTTAAGACTTATTTTTTACTTATTTTGAAAGAGTTACAGAGAGAGGTAGAGAGTAGAGAGAGGGAGGTCTTCTATCTGCTGGTTCACTCCCCAAATCGCCGTAACAGCAGGAGCAGAGCCGATCTGAAGCCAGAAGCCAGGAGGTTCTTCTGGGTCTTCCACATGGGTTAAGAGGCCCAAACACTTGGGCCATCCTCTGCTGCTTTCCCAGGCACATTATCAGGGACCTAGACCAGAAGTGGAGCAGCCAGGTCTCAAACTGGCACCCATAAGGGATGCCGGTGCTGCAGGCTGGGGTTTTAACCTGCTATGCCACAGCATTGGCCCCTAATAGAAGTTTTAAACCATACTTTAAAGACATATTTAATCAGCAGTTCTTAAAACTAATTTATAAAAAAATTGGGGGCCAGCGCTGTGGCTCACTTGGTTAATCCTCCGCCTGCGGTGCCAGCATCCTATATGGGTGCCGTGTTCTAGTCCCAGTTGCTCCTCTTCCAGTCCAGCTCTCTGCTATGGCCCAGGAGTGCAGTGGAGGATGGCCCAAGTGCTTGGGCCCCTGCACCCGCATGGGAGACCAGGAAGAAGCACCTGGCTCCTAGCTTCGGATCAGCACAGCGCCAGCCGTGGCAGCCATTTAGGGATTGAACCAATGGAAGGAAGACCTTTCTCTCTGTCTCTTACTGTCTATAACTCTATCTGTCAAAAAAAAATTGGTGAATCCTTATGATTTTATAAATAATCCAAAGCAAAAAGAAAATCTGTTTATATGAGATAAATAGTGAAAACTGAGGAAATCCATTTCAGACCAAATATTTACTATTTACTAGCTGGTAAGATTATTTGTCATATGAATCCGTTTATATTTATGTAAACTGTTTCATTTGCTTAGAAGAATTTTGATCTATGAATGTGGAATGTTTCAGGGAGAGAAAATTAGAGCAATGAATGTAACCATATATTTCAAGAATCAGAAAGGCCATTTTTCTTGGAGGAATTTTTGTTTGCTTTTAAATAAAAAGCTGATTACAAGACAGTGTGTATTTCTCTATTGTCCTTTGTAACTATTAGTCACTAAGCCTCTCCTTAATTCAAACCTATTCCATGAAATAAATCTATTTTTCATGTTCAACTGTAGGGCTACATGGCACTTATGAAAGAAGATGGTGTTCCCGATGACATGAAAGGAAAAGACAAGATTGTGTTTGGCAACATCCATCAGATCTATGACTGGCACAGAGAGTACGTAAAATCCATGTCGTGCTTGATCGTGTGCAAAGCCTCAGCACTTGCTGAAGCACCTCAGGTCAGGCCAGCAGTGAAGGAGACTGTTGGTTCGTTTTGTCGTACCTCCTGTGTGGCCTTGGGAGCAGCAGAAACACTGATGTACCCGGACATTTTGTGGTAGCATTTCATGGTGTGGAGAAGTCTCTTCCCTTTCTCAGTCTGGTCTCTGACAGACCAGAGATTCTGTCTGTCACAGTGGGGCAGAGCTGGGGCGGGTAGCAAAACCTCACATGCTACACAATTCAACAGAACATTAATTGGCATGCCAATCTGCAGGCTAATAAAATATTAAACAGATTCAAGTGATAATTATGGAAGACAAACATCTTAAAGACAACTAGAACCCAGAAGAAATGAAGAGCAGGTGTCCCACAGCTGTTTTGTTCCCTTTATGGTACCTAATTTTAATCTTAACAGATGGATGACTGGAAGGTTTAAGAAACCTTTAAAGAGCTTCCACAACTAACATTTTTAGTATTTTATTTCTGATAGCCAGTTTGAGCCTCTAAATAAAGTATCATAAAATAAATATGAAACTCACAAGTATAAAGACCAAGTTTTCAGAAATAAATGATCAGTTGCTTTGAAACATTGAAATTCACTCAGTATTCAGCTAAGGATATTAGTGCTTGTATCCTTCAAAACAACAAGATGAAATGTTAATTATCTGAAGGAAGGGCAAGTTGCCAGTCAAGGAACACTCTTTCTCCTTTGTATTTTTAAATTCAGAATCTTTTTGCTTTATAGCCTAACAGAATTGTTTCTGTGTTTCTTTTATTTGTTAACAATATATCAATTGCTCATGTAAAAATAGATTATTTTGAAAATGTATACCCGCATCTAAAATTAGAAAGCAAATTGGAAGTGGTTCTGATATCTCCCCCTCTCTTTTCAGCTTTTTTTTAGGAGAGTTAGAGAAGTGCCTTGAAGATCCAGAAAAACTAGGATCCCTTTTTGTTAAACACGTAAGCACAATAGCATTATCTCTATTCTGTTCTGATACTATCATATTTAGTCATTAGTTTGTCAGATTCAAGAAGAAAATCACTTGTGTGCAGGAGTGCATCTGTTAGGAATGAAATCAGATTGTACCCTGTTACATGGAACTTTGCTCCTCTGTGTGCAGATGATCTCTCCTGGTCACTAGCCCCTCCCAGCTGGCTCCTTTGCTGGCAGTACAGTACAGGTCAACCAGAGGGCACTAGACCCCAGCCTGAAGCAGAAAACTTTGGGTTATCTGTGGGCAGACAAGTATTTGGTGAAGATGTACCTATAATGCAGTGGGTTTAACAAAGTAGCCAAATGCATGTGCATATCTAAGTGTATTAATATTAAAGTCTGTGATTATTTTTAGAAAAATTAATGTATTTTTAAAAATTCATGGTAAGGATTTTTGCATTTTTGCATATCTTTCATGCCTTCCTTAATAGAGGATATCTAGATTTTCATATCTGCTTACGCACTCAGCCTATTTTGATGTTTCTTCTGGTTAAAGTATATGAAAAGGAATCCATCCTTAACATATGTGTAGTTGCAAAGGTACCAGTGTTTTCATAGCCGCTTCTAATCATTACAGATAGCTTAGATACTATACCAAAACTGGTAAGTGATAGTTTCTTAAAAGCTAGTTGCTCTGTAACCCTTTCGGATGAATAAATCTTTAAAAAAAAAAAAAAAAAAAACTAGTTGCAACATGGAATCTGAAAACCTTTCAGTGAACTCTCTTGCTGTCACATTGAGCTGTCTCGCCTCAAGGCCTGTCTCCCCACAGGTCTTGTGCTGCCCTGTGTTGGGAAATTAGAAAGACAGCAGTTCGCTGACTTAGGCAGGTCTTCTATACCTTGACACATTTCATCACACAATGTCCAAGAGTCAAATTTTTTCCTATCATCATCCATCTCTTCAGCAAATTTTAAGTTTGTCATGTTCATCGTGGCAGATATGAGGCTATCTCAAAAAGTTTATAGAAGAAAACACTTGAAGTCCTTGCATAGTTCTTTCATAGTATGCATTTTCTATTAGTTTTTAACAATCCCTCCTATGCACAGAAAATTTTGCAGCAAAATAAACATTACTTTTAATTCCGTCTTACGTGAACTTTCCGAAGTACCATTATACATGTTTCCAAAATTTTAGTTTTTACTTGAAAGCTAGAATTTTCATTATTAACATGCACATCCAGTTTCTTGTACCAAAATGGCAGACTTTTTTCTTTCATATTCCAGAATATGTCTGCTAGATTTACAAGTGTACTAAGTATAGTTTTTGTCCCCATCATTCTTTTCATAGATCAGTTGATTTGAGTTCACACTACGCAGTTGCACAAGTGTGTTTCCCTTGACACAATTATTATATAAGCCAAAAGGTTATACAGAATTCTGTGTTGCCACCAGAATAGCAGTAAACCTATGATTAGGTTTGAATAAAATGAATTATTTTATTAATTCACAGGCATCTTCTTAAGTGAAACTGGCATTTTTTTTTTAACTGCAAAATTGTAGCATTGAATTCTTGCCATGGGGTTAGGAGTTTCACCCAGCTTTGGTTTGCACATTAGCATGGGGTCAGCACCTGAGAAAGGCATGCACTCTCTTAGTGTTATTTGGAGAACAGCTGTGACTGCTGGAACCCCTGCAGGCCTCAGGGAGCCCTGGGAGTTGGCACACTACATTCTAAGGATCAGTGGGTTAAAAAAAAGTCTTGTCCACTTTTCCCCCTCCTGTAGGAGTTGAGATTAAGGAGCTGCTGCTTCCTCACTAGGAGTAGCCAGGTTTACTGGGCTACTGGCAGGATTTGGAAAGACGGCAGTAATTCTGTGTTTAGTAGAAAGTGTTCTTCTACTACCTCTGGTATTTGTTGGCATTTGGTACCATATAGTGAGGGGTTTGGTCTGCAGGAGGGAGAAATAATGGACTGATTTTGGAACCACAAATAAGGCAGCTGAACTATAACATGAATCTGGAATATGTACCCAAGAGCTCCAGCCATGAAGATTTGTTTTAAGATAATTGCCTTTAAAAAGGTGCTGAAATGTCAGTGTGCTCTTACCTTCTAATTGTGCTTCCAGTTGCTTAATCTGTTTGCCTTTTTCATTTTCAGGAGAGAAGGTTGCACATGTACATAGTTTATTGTCAAAATAAGCCAAAGTCTGAGCACATTGTCTCAGAATACATTGATACGTTTTTTGAGGTAAGACCCCCCCCCCAAAATACAGAAAGCATTTGTGAATCTTTTGTTACAGCTGAATTACAAAAATTAAGATGTCTGTTATCCCAGGGGACTAAGCCATCTTCAGGAAATTAGCCTACATGGCAAGAGTTCTGGGCCTGTGTTTCTTTTCTTGAAAATCAGAATTATCAATTTAGTCTATGGTCCTGTCCCCTGCCATCCAGAAGACTGGAGTCCTTGTTAAAAATAAAGAGTTTTATCAGTGCTTAGCTCAGGCCTCATTACAAATTCAGAATAATTTACGATCTAAACTTTTACTTCAAAATAAAAAAATAATGTGTTTGGATGAAGGGATTGAAAGAAGGCCTTTAAACAGGCATAAAAGTCTCCTTTCACAGACAACTCAGAAAGGTGAAAGTGTATTACTTGGAAACTCTGAGAAATTGTAAAATTAGTTAGAGTGCAAAGTGGCCTTTTTTTTTTTTATTATTACTATTACTGACAGTGTTGCATTTAGCCTTCCTGACAATGTCTTTTGAGAACTAAAAGGCTGCCCTGTAATGAACAGCAAGCCTGAACTGTCTTTTTTTCTCTTAAAACCGCAGGACTTAAAGCAGCGGCTTGGCCACAGGTTGCAACTCACAGATCTGTTGATCAAACCAGTGCAGAGAATTATGAAGTACCAGCTGCTGCTGAAGGTGAGGAAGCAGGAGGTGGAGAGTCTTCTATTGGGGCTTCGTTTAGTGAAGAGAACAAGATTAGAGGGTGGGACAGGGGACTTGGCAGGTGAGGGAGCAGAGTCTGTAAAATATACATGGCAATCCCAGTTTTTCTGCTTTTAAATATTTCATTTACACCAAGTTCTGAATCAAAATGTCAGTAACAATACACTTGTACCCTTACCACAGACCATGGAATGCTAATGAATTTTTTTCAGCTCTATTGACCTTAAATTTTTTTTTTTAATTTTTTTTTTTTTTTTTTGACAGGCAGAGTGGACAGTGAGAGAGAGAGAGACAGAGAGAAAGGTCTTCCTTTGCCGTTGGTTCACCCTCCAATGGCCGCCGCGGCCGGCGCGCTGCAGCCGGCGCATCGCGCTGATCCGATGGCAGGAGCCAGGTACTTATCCTGGTCTCCCATGGGGTGCAGGGCCCAAGTACTTGGGCCATCCTCCACTGCACTCCCTGGCCACAGCAGAGAGCTGGCCTGGAAGAGGGGCAACCGGGACAGAATCCGGCACCCCGACCGGGACTAGAACCCGGTGTGCCGGCGCCGCAAGGTGGAGGATTAGCCTAGTGAGCCGCAGCGCTGGCCGACCTTAAATTTTTTCTAATCTTCTTGGCGTCTTTGGTAAAACTAAATATTTAAGCCCTGTGTGTTTCTCTCTATTGGCTCAGCAGTAACCCCTGGCTGATGCTTGAAATTCTTAGGCACATTTAAGGAAACGTCACATGCTTTTCCATGCCACGAATGATTGCTTTATTGCGAATCCTTCACTGGTGAAACATAGGACCTGGATCTGAGGAGGAGCAGAGGCTTGCTTGGAGGGCGGTCAGACCTTTACACAGATCGGGTGTGGCTTTGCTGTCCAGCAGATGGACACCCACACAGGATAGTTTCTTGCTGTGTCACTGGTACAACTTAATGACAATATAGAGCTAAAGCCCTGAACCCTGTGCCTAGAGGGACGTGATCTGCTGTTGCCTTTATCACCCTGATCCTGTTCTCTTCTCTCCATTTCCCTGACAGGACTTCCTCAAGTATTCCAAAAAGGCTAGCCTGGATACATCAGAACTAGAGGTACTTGGCATCACTGGCTCCGCCTTCCCTAATCTCCCCACAGGCTCTCCCAGGCCCTGAGTGTCTCCCAGCACAAGGTGCTGGCCCTGAGAAGGGGTGAGCAGTGAGTGACAGGGATCTATCCAGGGAGTCTCGCTGTGTCCTCTGCACCCTAGAGGGCGGGGAGGGAGAGGAGCTGAACTTGGAGATGCAGTTGAGGATTAGCACACCAGTCTTCCCCAGTGGGTCTTGAACTCTCACTCTGCTTTCTCCCGCCCACAGAGAGCCGTGGAAGTCATGTGCATAGTACCAAAGCGATGCAACGACATGATGAACGTGGGGCGGCTGCAAGGATTTGACGTAATGCAGCTGTTGTTCTTCTAAAGGGCTCTTCCACCTTCCGTTTCTTTTGTCTTGGACTCTTTCTCTCTACATGTAGAAGACTGATCCTTCTTGCTTGGGTTTCAGTTGTCTTTCCCTACTTCAACTTGATTGATATTTCCTTTCAACCTCTTTTCAGTGCATTGGGTTTGCTTTTTTGGGGACCTTCCTCTACTCAAAATCCAGTGCCTCCTGGTAGAAACAAGCAGGCTGTGTTTTGTTTCCTTGGGTCCTCTACTGCCATGAGAGCCGTTTCTTTTCCCCAGCATTCAGAGCTGTGGTAGCTATGGAGATAGGAGGAGCCAGCAGGACCCTGCCCTTCTGTCATCCCAGGGAGCCTGACTTCGGGGTCACTGTGTTCCTCGTGGTCAAGCAGATTTTCATGGAAATTGCCAGACCACTCATGTTACATAGGTGTTCCCTGTTGTGTATCTTGAAGAAGAATTCAGAGATAGAATCTTCCCCCCCCACCACCCAATTTGACTGTTGAGTAAAGAGGATGGGAGACATTTTTATCTTGCCAGCTATTTTGCAAAAGAATTAGTATTGAAAGTCCTAGTGATGGGGTTCTCAGATGCAACCATGCACAGAAGTACTGGGAAGGCTGCTGAGCACACAGCTTGCTGTGCATGCGCCTTTGGTCAGGCAGGTGCTGCTGTTGGTGCTGGCATGAGAACCAGGCCTCCGGAAGTGCTGTTCTGAAAGGTTCCACTGTCACTTTCTAACTGAAGCCAGTGGTTTACACAAAGATTTGCAAGAATTTTATTTATTTAGACAGTTGTTCTGTTTAGGCTCAAGAATCATTACAGGAAAAGAGAAAAAATTAAGTGTAAATTAATAGAAGAAAAATACATTATTCTGTGAGAGAAAACTTTCAGGAAAGAACTTCAGATAATGTAGAATGCAATGTTTTCTTTTCCCCTTCCTTTGTCCCTTTTTTCTTGTTTTAGGGTAAAATTGTTGCCCAGGGTAAGCTGCTCTTGCAGGACACATTCTTGGTCACAGACCAAGATACCGGACTTCTGCCTCGCTGCAAAGAGAGGCGGGTCTTCCTTTTTGAGCAGATCGTCATATTCAGCGAACCACTTGACAAAAAAAAGGGCTTCTCCATGCCTGGATTCCTGTTTAAGAATAGTATCAAGGTAAAGAGAGAGAGAGAGAGTGTGTGTGTGTGTGTGTGTGTGTGTGTGTGTGTCTGTGTGTGTGTGTTCTCATGTACCAGTTATACTGATGAACTGTTTACTTTTTATTGATGACATACTTTGATGTTTAGTTTATTAATATTTAAGGAACCTTCTAGACATTCCAGAACTTTTAAATTCACCCCATTTCTTTTTTTCGAACAAAATTATTTGCTGTCTGTCCCCTGCTTGTTATTCTTTAAGAACTTTATACTGCATTTGAACAGACAGAGAAAGGTCTTCCTTTTTGCCGTTGGTTCACCCTCCAATGGCCGCCACGGCTGGCGCGCTGCGGCTGGCGCACCGCGCCGATCTGAAGGCAGGAGCCAGGTGCTTATCCTGGTCTCCCATGGGGTGCAGGGCCCAAGCACTTGGGCCATCCTCCACTGCACTCCCGGGCCACAGCAGAGAGCTGGCCTGGAAGAGGGGCAACCGGGAAAGAATCCGGCATTCTATGTAACAACAGCCATTCCTTTTTATGATTGGAAGACCTCATCTTTAGTGATGTGCACCACCCTCTCCTGGACCATATAAGAAAAAGTTCAGGGGGCCAGCACTGTGGCTCACTTGGTTAATCCTCTGCCTGCAGCGCCGGCATCCCATATGGGCACCGGGTTCTAGTCCTGGTTGCTCCTCTTCCAGTCCAGCTCTCTGCTGTGGCCCGGGAAGGCAGTGGAGGATGGCCCAAGTACTTGGGCCCCTGCACCCACATGGAAGACCAGGAGGAAGCACCAGGCTCCTGGCTTTGGATTGGTGCAGTGCTGGCCGTGGCGGCCACTTGGGTGAACCAACAGAAGGAAGACCTTTCTCTCTGTCTCTCTCTCACTGTCTGTAACTCTACCTGTCAAATAAATTTAAAAAAATTTTTTTTAAAATTAAAAAAAAGTTCAGAAGCACACATCTGGAGTATTGCTCTGTGACGAGAAAAAACAACTAACTAGAGTCTTGTTCTTCTTCATTCAACAAAGAGATACTGAGCACTCAAGGCATGCATGGGGCCAGAAGGGAGATGGGCCAGACACCCACCATTAATGGGAGAAAAACCACAAAGAAATGCATAAAGAAAGTTGCACAGGGCTGTAAATCTGTAACGAGAACAAATCAAAGGTGAATCAGAGAATAGCAGAAGAAAAGGCCTGAGGCCCCGGGAGATGCACCTCCCCCATGTTCTTTCTGCCCCTGCAGCTGTACAGGCCAAGGTCAGAAGAGAGATGTGCTTTTCTTTTTTGGTGCCTTCTTTTTTTTTAATTAATTAATTAATTTTTTAATTTTTGACAGGTAGAGTTAGGCAGTGAGAAAGAGAGACAGAGAAAAAGATCTTCCTTTTTCCATTGGTTCACCCCGCCAAGTGGCCACTATAGCCGGTGTGCTGCGGCCGGCGCTGCGCCGATTGAAGCCAGGAGCCAGGTGCTTCCTCCTGGTCTCCCATGCAGGTGCAGGACCCAAGTACTTGGGCCATCCTCCATTGCATTCCCGGGCCACCGCAGAGAACTGGACTGGAAGAGGAGCAACCAGGACAGAATTCAGCGCCCCAACCAGGACTAGAACCTAGGGTGCTGGCGTCACAGGCAGAGGATTAGCCTAGTGAGCCACTGCCCTAAGTTGCCAGCATCCCCATCAGGGACAGGGAGACTCTGAGGCCCTCTGAGCATCCAGGCCTCACAGCATACTAGGACATGGCATCCTCTTCCACCTGGCTCCCCAAGGCAACTTCTGTTGCATACCTACAGCTGCTCCCATGTGCCTGAACACAAGTGGGTGTATCCATGGCACAGTCATCACAGTGGGAGTCTTCTGTCCACTGGTATCCAGGAAGGTTCAGAGCTGAACAGCTAAGGGAGGAGGCTGCCTTCACTTTAACTGGGACTGCAGGCCCTTGTCTCATGCCACTGCCCAGCTACTTCAGCCTGGCCATCTGAGCCACGGGTCCCAAAATACATCACTGCCTACCCATCCATCCCCTGACCCTCCCACTAATTCTATCCGCAAGTCTCTTTTTTTTTTTTTTTTTTTTTTTTTTTGACAGGCAGAGTGGACAGTGAGAGAGACAGAGAGAGAAAGGTCTTCCCTTGCCGTTGGTTCACCCTCCAATGGCCGCCGCTGCAGCCGGCGCACCGCGCTGATCCGATGGCAGGAGCCAGGATCCAGGTGCTTCTCCTGGTCTCCCATGGGGTGCAGGGCCCAAGCACCTGGGCCATCCTCCACTGCACTCCCTGGCCATAGCAGAGAGCTGGCCTGGAAGAGGGGCAACCGGGACAGAATCCGGCGCCCCGACCGGGACTAGAACCCGGTGTGCCGGCGCCGCAAGGTGGAGGATTAGCCTATTGAGCCACGGCGCCGGCCGTCCGCAAGTCTCTTGATGGGAAACTTCTCCAGCACCACAGAAATTCTCTTCATGTATAGAATTATTCTACAATTTTTAGTCATGATATCACACACACACACACACACACACACACTTCTGCAATGCATTTTACTGATACTTGAGATTTTTTAAAAATGGTATTATATTTTCCTGGGAAAATGAATAAGAAATCAATCCTGGGTCATCACGAAAGAGTTCTGGAAGCAGGTAATCCCAGGCCCACATTTCCAGTTAATTGTTCAAGCTGTTAAACAGATAGTTGCCAAGTCCCTGAGTTGAAAAAGGAATTGAACAGATTCATAATAATGACTTCTGAGGTAGTAAAAACACCAACACAACCAAGAAGTAATTGTTTCAGGGCTTTTAAAATGTTCTTTATTTTGAAAGGCAGAAATAGAAATAGAGCTCCCATCTCCTGGTTAACTGCCCCCCAACAGCCAGGGCTGGGCCAGGCCAATGCTAGGAGCCAGGACCTTCATCCAGGTCTCTCATGTGGGTGGCAGGAACTCAACTATTTGAGCCACCACCTGCTGCCTCCCAGGGTGTGCATTGCCAGGAAGCTGGAATGGGGAGCAAATCCAGGACTCAAACCAAGGCACTTGAATATAAGATGAGGGCATCTCAGCCCATGTCTTAGCGGCTGTGCCAGATGCCTTCCCCCAGTTGTTTCCAGTCTCGACTGAGGATGAATTTCACTTTACACTTGGTCAGTAAGGTTAAATGTACTTTTTTATTGTGGTCCAGTACATTCAACAAATGTTTTCTTAACTATTTCCGTCAGCTGTTCAGTGGCATGAAATGCATTCATGTTACTGTGCAACTGCCAGCACTATCCATCTCCAGATTCTTCATCTTACATAACTGAAGCTAGTACCCCGAGAGCACAAAATCCCCACTCCTCTCCCACAGCTGCTGGCAGCCCCATCCCCCGTTCTGTCTTTATGGTTTTGTCTCTTTTGGACTGGTTTATTTCATTGACCTTGATGTTTCCAAGATTCATCCACGTTGTGGCATGTATCAGAATTTCCCTCTTTTTTTAGAGCTAAATGATATCCCATTGCCCACTTAGATGGCATTTTGTTTATCCATTTGTCAGTCAGTGGGGACACTTGGGTTGCTTCTACCTCTTGGCTATTGTGAATAATGCTTTATTTTTTTTTAAGGTGAGTTGTCTTTGCCTGGAGGAAAACGTGGAAAATGACCCCTGTAAATTTGCTCTGACGTCAAGGGCAGGTGACGTGGTGGAGACCTTCATTTTGCACTCATCCAGTCCAAGTGTCCGGCAAACATGGATCCACGAAATCAACCAAATTCTAGAAAACCAGCGCAATTTTTTAAATGGTAATGTGTGTTCTGTTACTAGATTCGTTTTCTTTCCCTAATTTCTCCTCTCTCTCCCTTTATATGTTAATAGTACTGGCAGAACATGGGCACTGTTCAGAAGCGCTGTCTGTGTATTGCTTCATGTCAAATTCACAACCACTCTGTGTGATAAGTGCTGTTTCAGTTCTCATTTTACACCTAAGGAACCTGAGGCACAGAGTGAAAGAATAAATTTGCCCAGAATCCCACAGGTTGTCGGTGGCACTTGGTATATAGATTAGAACTCTCTCAGCATGCACCTCTCACATCCCTTCTGCTTCATGCACAGAACATGCAGTAGGACCCTGCCCTAGGAAGATGGATGTTGGAGAAGAGAGCACTGGCCAAAGGTGCTGGAGATGTTCTCCAGTGCACTGCATACCCACAACTCCCTTCTTCATTTAAAACCAGGAGATGGTTTCAGCCTTCCTGCCTTCCATGACTTGAGGAATTACAGAGTGGCCATACTACCCTTGCATTGCCTCGTAATAAATGTGACAGCTCCTTGCGACCGCCACCTTCCACTCCAGTTTTAATCCAGAGATGAAGAGCTTTGAGAACTCGACAGATGAATGAATCTGTCTTTTCTGTGTCCTTCATGTCCATATTGTGAGTCTTTGCCCCAGTCCTCGAGTCCAGCTGAATGTCGTAATGTTCTCCATCGCAAAAAACCATCTCCACACTTTCCATGACATTCAGGAGTCAGGCATACAGCACTCACTAGACCATCTAAAGTGGCAGCATTTGCTGACAAAGCCATGATCAGCTGGCTGCCTAGGTGTGCACTCCAGGTTTCTGTCCAACTTGCTGGCTGATGACTGTTTACATCTGCAGTTATGATTGGATCCTATGGCTGTGAACAAGCGCAGGTCTCATAGTATGTTGCTCTCAAGTGGTAATTAAACCCTTGTCCATAGCACAGGATTGGAAAATCTCTAAGCTTTTACTAATGTCTTCAAAATAAAATAAACTGCCCCAAATTTCAAATATAAGGATATGATGTTAAAGTTGACACCCACTCAACCTGGATAGTAGCAGTGACAAGAGCCAGGTGGGAGGCAACTGCACGCTGGCATCCCATGTGGGCGCCAGGTTCCTGTCTCGGTTGTTCCTCTTCCAGTCCAGCTCTCTGCTGTGGCTGGGGAGGGCAGTGGAGAATGGTGCAAGTGATTGGGCCCCTGCACCTGCATGGGAGACCAGGAGGAGGTACCTGGCTCCTGGCTTCCAATCGGCACAGCGCCGGCCGTAGTGGGGGAGTGAACCAATGGAAGGAGGACCTTTCTCTCTGTCTTTCTCACTGTCTATGACACATGAAAAAAAAAATTTGTGCTCATGTTTCCATACACCTGAGTTGGCACAATGCCCACCATGGTCTTCAGATGATTATGGAACTAAACCACTCAGGTCCGGGGCTGGGACAGAGCTCTTTAACTTCCCTTGCCTGGTCTGTCCAACCTGTGTTTACACAGGTGGTCTGTACCAGCTCTCTGCCCACAGGCCGAGGGCTTACCGCCTAACTCTCAGAGGGTTTCTTATCTGCCCAGGGACCCCATGGTTTAACCTTTCCTGCCACAGAGAGCCAGACTCGGAGTTCTTCCCTGCAGTGGGGATGCTGAGGCTCTATCTTTAGCCCCAGGGAGCAGGAGGAGGCATATGGGGCCCATTGCTTTCCTTAACTGGCAGGTAGTGCCAGGAAGCAGACTGTTCCTTGGGCAGGGGGCTTTAGGACATGGCTCTTACAGGGCTAGCCTCCACCCTAGGCCCTGCGGCTTGCTTTTCCCTGGTACCCTGACTTGTCTTGGGCCGTCTCTTGTTTTTCAGCCTTGACATCACCAATCGAGTACCAGAGGAACCACAGCGGGGGCGGCGGCGGCGGGGGCAGCGGCGGTGGGGGCGGGGGCGCAGCCCCCAGCGGCCCAGGGGGCAGCGGCCCAGGCAGTGCCAGCGCCATGGGCGGCCCCAACCAGAGCAGGAGCAGGCCCTCCCGGATCCCGCAGCCCGTCAGACACCACCCCCCCGTGCTGGTCTCCTCTGCAGCCTCCAGCCAGGCAGAGGCAGACAAGATGTCAGGTACGTCTGCACCCGGCCCCCTCCTGCCTCCCCCCAGCAGTGGCGCCCTCGAGGCCAGTCCTGGTCAGGCCGGCAGGCCCCCCGCCAGCAGAGACCCCGAAGGCGCCGCAGAGCCCACGCACAAGACGAAGGTGCTCGACAGTCCCCGGAAGGCCACGGCGAGCCACGATGCCGCTGCCAGGGACGCACGTGCCAGCCTGGGACCCCTGCCCCTGGGCAAGCCCCGGCCTGGGGCAGTGTCGCCGCTGAACTCGCCTCCTGCTTTCGGCAAGGAGCCCTTCCCCCCCAGCAGCCCCCTGCAGAAGGGGGGCTCCTTCTGGGGCTCCATCCCCGCCTCCCCGGCCAGCCGGCCCGGCTCCTTCACCTTCCCCGGGGACAGTGACTCCCTGCAGCGGCAGACGCACCGCCACGCGGGCCCCAGCAAGGACACGGACCGCATGAGCACGTGCTCCTCGGCCAGCGAGCAGTCCGTGCAGTCCACCCAGAGCAATGGGGTAAGAGCGCCCGCCCCGGGGGGCCCGCGCCAGCTCTTCTAAACCTCCTGTGTCGCCGTTGCTCTCCGCTCCGCTCCTCCGTACTAACTCGGCGCCCCGGCGTCGCTGCAGTAATCGCCACCGCCTCCGGTTCTCCTTGCACTCGCCCAGTAGACGCTCTGTGGCCTCTGTGCGCACGCGCGAGTCCGCCCGCGGGCCTGAGCGCAGCCCCAGCCGAGCGCACCTGCGCCCCGACCTGGCCGGACGGACAGCGCCGCGCTCGTCTCTACTAACTCGCTCCCTGCTTTGTTCGTGTCTCCTTAATCAGAGAAAGCAGACCATTAACCTTCTGAATGCAGCATCTTTAAGCCTTCTCAGTTTTCCGACCAGCGCAGTGTCGTGGATCTTCCTTTTAGCGCTGTCTTCCTCAATACGTTTTTGGAGGGGCCCTTTCCCTGCTCTCTACCTCTTATTTCAATTGGAATCTGTACACTTTAAGCTTTTTGCTCATCGCTTGGTTTTGCTCTTTTATGCCTTAAGTTATCTTTGCAGCATTTTTGACTCATCTGCTGGGAAAAAAATTCAAGAAAACTTCCAACAGCAACTCAAAGCAAACTAAGGCGGCCACATGGTGGGAAGGAATCTGTCGGTGGAAGTATTTCCTCCACCCACGTTTTGCTCCGGAGGAGAGAGACTGCCCCGGGGCCACCTGGAGCGCCTGTGCGTCTGCCCAGCAGGGGGCGCCTCTGCGGCGGGGCCTCGACTCATTTTGCTGTCAGTCATGCTGTGTTCCAAGCAGAGGGGTTGCTGTGCTGGGTTTCCCTGGTGTCCTGGCTTCTTCCCTGTCCTCCACACAGGGGGCCTGGCCCGTAACACTTTCCTGAAGGCATGCGAAAGTGAATAGAACTGTTGTCACGAGTGTATGTTTGATCGCTTTATAAATTTTTAAATACATTTCTGAGAAAGGGTCTGTGTCTCTCTTTGTATAAAAACAAATCTGGCTTCTGCATGTCTGTCTCTTTCCTCTGGATTTCTATTAATGCCTTATTTGGATTGATTTGATCTTACCTTTTCTTCCTTTTTTGTTTTTGGTTATATATTATATTGAACTCAATTAAGGAAGAAGTGAAGAAATGGCTCTTGATACCTCTATGTATCTATGTATAAGTCTTATTCTCAAAGATAAGTGCCTGAGGAGGCGTGCTCTGTGGTGACTGTCGCTGGCCCCCTTCTGGGGGCACCCCCGCTGTATCCTGCAGAGCAAGAAGCCTCCCAGCTGGCTAGTCTGGAAGTGCTGAGCAGGCAGTTAGCCTCCCAAACAGATCTCCATGAGAGAAAAGGGTGAGGATACAGACAGCCCAGTGGCAGTCTGTGCCTGCTAGCACCTCGTCGGATACTCAGTGTGCAGGTGTGGCCTTACAGCCGGGGCCCTGTTGGCATCTCCAGCTTATCCTAATGCAGACACTCTCCCGTGAAAACCAGAAGTTTCCAGAGTCTGTGTCAACTCCTAAAAAGGAGCTGGTGCTGGGATTTTCTGGGTGTTCCTGAGTAGACAGGAATAACAGACACAGCCTAGCTGTAGCCCAGGCTGTTTGCCCTGAGGCGAGGGCTCCATCTACAGGCAGTGCCTGTTCAAGTGAGCTTTTGGTTGTGGAAGTTGCCTTTGATTTCTGCCTCCTACTTTTTCTTAGGCAGTATGGAAAGGGAAATTATCAGAGACAGAGGACTTACAGAAATGCCCTGGGAAAATCACCAGCAGCCCAAAGAAGGAATTTGAAGGTGTACTCTGAGACTCAAGCATTCCTGTTCAAATGAGCTGTCCTTCAGCCCCTCCCAGTTTGAGGTTCCAGCCCCCTGGGGGATCAGCAGAGGCCACCTACCTCCCTGCCATTTCTGCCGCTCTGTCTACTTACAGCCAAGCAGCTGTGCCTAAGCCATTGCCTGAGCCCTTATTCCCTCTTTAGATGGACACCTTCTGCAGTGGTGTGCTGAGAGCAGGGGTGGGGTAGGTGTGGATCCACCGTGGCTGTGACTGCTCTGTGCCCTGAGTGGGTGCACACACTGGAATTTCCCCAGCCCTGTCTTCCTCTCCCAGCAGGTCCATGCAAAGTGGCTGACCTCTCTCTAGGGAGTGCATGGTTATGCCCACTGACAGGTAGTTGTAAAGATTCAGTAAGATTGATTGTAAGTGCTTCATACATATCCTAGCACACAGAGAGGTTCATAAAATAGTAATAGCTAGTAGTACTGTGGCAAGATACTCAAATGAGATGTGACCTAATATATACTATATTACGAAAAGCATGTGTGCCATGAAAGTTGGATTTTGTTTACTTTTTCTAGCAAATTTGGCTTTGTGATATCAGAGCTTGGGTGTTGCTGTCTAGTTCAGAATACTAAAGTACATGTGCTAAGTTTAAAGTTACAGAAGTGAGTATTCAGAATCTAAAACCTGACACACCCACTTGTACCTTCTAAGCTTAGGGACCATAGGTGAACAGTGGGCATCCCCAAGGGATGGGAACTGAGAGTGGGGCAGCTTTGTCTTGTTTTATTTTAAATATCCACTCCCCCAGAACAGTTGGTTACTTGTTAAGTGAGAGTGCGGAATGGATACTGCCTTTTGCATTTCCTCCACTCAGGAGCTAGCGCCACTCACTTTGTGGGCCCAAGTTTGTGTTCTTAAGACATCACCTTTGTTCTGCATTTGCTATCTTGCCTTATTGACTAAGGCAGCACATATTGAGTACCTCCGAGCTGACAGTGCCTGTGGCCAGAGATTGGGTGCCACCAGGACTGCAGGATAAGAGTAGGGGAAGCACCTCCTCATGAGGATCTCTTCCTGAAGCTTGAGTCTTAGTGCCAGTGGCGTTCACATGGCAACAGCACCTTGGGGACACTCGCAGAAGGCAAGCTCATGAGAGGACCACCCACCGAGGGACGCATAAAGGGGAAGAGCACCTATCTGCAAGATCAGAATAGTAGTTGATTTACTTCCCAGGTATCCCATGTTCTTTCCGAAGGGAAAAGAGGTAGAAATGGCTAGGCACAACAGCAGCTAAACTGGGTGTATCCTAGAATATATGCCCCTGTTGCACACTTCATCTGGAAGATTTGGGGAGTTTTCCATGATCTCATGTCAGCCAAAGAGCTGCTCTTTCCAGCTTGTAGATTTATACCGTAATTAGAGTGACACTTCAACGCTCGGGGTTAGGTATGGCCCAAGACGGCATCAGCGTGAGGACTCAGTTGTTCCTGGGAGGATCCAAGGAAGATCAGACTGTCCTAATGCCAAGCTTCCAGAAGTCAAGTCATCAGGGTACATTTCTGTTTTTCAGATTGTCCCTAACTTGCTTTCTAGAGAAGTCCTGTTTTTCAGTAATGAAAAAGAGGCACAAGGTTAGCTAGAGAGACTGTGAAGGCAAAGTTGGAAGTGTCTTCTGTCTGCCTGGTGAGCCCTGGTGCCCTGGTGCACACTGGCAAGTGGTTTCGTGTTCCCAGGCTTCCTTTCAGCTCCCCCCTGCCTTTCTTTTCTTGGCCTTTCCCGCTACAGAGTGAAAGTAGCAGCAGTAGCAACATCTCCACCATGCTGGTGACACACGATTACACGGCAGTGAAGGAGGATGAGATCAACGTCTGTCAAGGAGAGGTCGTTCAAATTCTGGCCAGCAACCAGCAGAACATGTTTCTGGTGTTCCGAGCCGCCACTGACCAGTGCCCCGCAGCCGAGGGCTGGATTCCGGGCTTCGTCCTGGGCCACACCAGCGCAGTCATCATGGAGAACCCCGACGGGACTCTCAAGTGAGTGCCCCACGGGAAAACCATCCACAGCAGGGGAGGAGCCCAAGTTAGGCAGAGGTGCTGGCAACGGTGAGGCACGTTGGCAAGAATACTGCTGCCTCTGTCAGTGCGAATGCATCGCGGCAAATGTGTAACCCTAGAGGTTCTTCCAGTAGCCTGTGTTCAGAAGCACGCAGCTGTGTGAGGTCACTGAATAGGGCATGCCACTGTTTAGTCCCTGGAGGCCTTGGTGGGGGCTGAGGACTGTCTGAGCACCCCTAACTCCCCATCAAGTGTACACTAGGAAACGTCTGGGAAAATACTGTGTGACCTGCAGGTACAGGACTACATAAGTCATTACTGTCAGACCTTATGTGTGGGAAGGTTAATTGAGTTAAGAAACTTGAAACCACTTTTGATGCATTAAGCATTATTTTAAAAAATAAAAAAGCCTTGCTATTTTGAGCTCTTCCCTTCCCTGAATGTCATTGAAATGCCCACTGTGGTAGAAGCCAGCCAGATGGTTCTGGGGACTGGCAGCATTATGGGACTTTTTTGTCTTCTGGAGTCCCTGTGAGACCAGACGCAAAGGCACCAGTCAGGTGCTTTGTCTGCGTGTGTGGCCCAGTTGGCAGCAGGAGCTGTGCTGGCATCTCAGCTTCAGCCTCCTCTGGACTCAACACATGACAGACAGGGGTGCTCCCCTCTTCCCAGGACAGTCCTTTGTCCTATTTCTCCTTGATGTGCAAAAATCGTTTATTCTAGTCCATTATTCAAGAATGCTATATCAGTCATACCTCAGTGAAGTGGTTTATAAGGATATCTGAGGGCAAAATCCCACTTTATACCTTATTTCCTCAAACTGTATTCCTAGGCTCCCATTTTGGGTTGTTCAGAGAAAAGCAGTAGGGCATGCCATGTGTTCTGTGTGTATGTGTGTGTAGAAAGATTTGTTAAAGGGGATTGGCTCATGCACTTAGGGAGACTGGCAAGTCCAGATTTACATTGTGGGCCAGCAGGCTTGAGACCCAGGAGAGCTGGCAGATGGTAGAGGATAAAGTCCAAGGCCATGTGCTGGAGAATGCCTTCTTGCTCAAGAGACCATTGACCTGATTGGATGAAGGAGGTCCATCCACACCAGGGAGGACAAACTGCTCTACCAATTAAAACGTTAATCCCACTCAAAAATACCCTCACAGAAACACTCAGGATAGTTAACCACATTGACACACAAATAGCCATCATTAACTCCTTTATATTTTAATCCATAGGATTTGACTTTAGAAATTGTTAGCTTAACTCTTGATTCCTGCGACTCACAGGGAGGTTTTGCATGATGGTATTCAGCTGTTCTCTGAAGCGTTTAGGTAACATTTGCTGAACATTAGAAAAATATAAAATGAAAAGTGTATTCTCTCCCCCCTGCCAGGAAGTCAACATCTTGGCACACAGCACTCCGTTTAAGGAAAAAATCTGAGAAAAAAGATAAAGACGGCAAAAGGGAAGGCAAGTTAGAGAACGGTTACCGGAAATCACGGGAAGGACTCAGCAATAAGGTATCTGTGAAGGTGCGTGTGTCTCTTGCCACCTGTGTCGTCCCTCTGTGAGCAGACTTGTCAGGCAGGGTGGGGTGCTCCACAGACACAGAGCCCGGGCTTCCCTGAGATAATCTCCTGCCCTACCCACAGCATCCTGCAGTCTCATTTGAGGGCTCATCTGGGACTGTGCTGGCTGGTACAGGGATGCACACACCCTCCAGAGAACCAGAAATACACCTGTACACTTCACCAAGTGCACACATGGCACAGAGGCCCTGGATAGGTTCCTGGGTGCAGCACAGTGAAGACTCTCAGTCACGCAGACTGTAAAGAAGCTATGGCTCTGACTTCCTGTTCCTGCTTTGAAATACAGAAGGGACCATGAGGGACACAGGTCCATTCTGACTTCAACCACTTCCCTTGGCAGTAGCTCTCTGTAATCAGATTGCCTCAGCTTCTAAGGGGTCTTGTGGAGATGAAAAGAAAATATCTCCTAAGAGGGAATGTAAGCTCCCTGGGTCAGGGTCTGTGTTAGGAAAGGATCGAGGGACTGCAGGACTGAGCTGGGCCATGGGATGGAAAGTGGGGACATCTCGGAGCTGAAGCAGTGGGTAGGAAGAGAAAGCACCCAAGTTGGCATTACGTAAAGCTTTCAAATGCACCAAAAGGCAGGGAAACTGTGGTCTGTTTTGATCGATACCCAGGCAAGCCAAGTCATGTTTCTGCTCATCATTCTATAGTAACTGTAGCGCTGGAATCAAGAACGTGCCTGCTGTTTTTGGCTAATACGTGTTTGCCTCTTTGATTGCAGCTTCTCAATCCCAACTACATTTATGACGGTAAGTTCTGCTTTTGCGTTTGGTCTTGGAGATTATGGGTATACAGGGCGTGTTCACAACATAGAAGGATAGCTTCTGTTAGTGGGTTTTCAGCAGCTTAGGTCTTAATAGCTTGTTAGAGACAGGTGGTGGGCATCAGGGACAAGAGGAGGGGACTGGCATTTACCAGCTCCTTACTCTTGCAGTTCCCCCAGAATTTGTCATTCCATTGAGTGAGGTCACATGTGAGACAGGGGAGACCGTTGTTCTTAGATGTCGAGTCTGTGGCCGCCCCAAGGCATCAATCACCTGGAAGGGCCCTGAACACAACACCTTGAACAACGATGGTCACTACAGCATCTCCTACAGGTAAGGACCCACCCTGGGGTAGGTTTCATCTGGGAGCACAGTCTTGTTGCATGGTGACTGGGAGCACCTCCTCCACTGTGGCAGACATGACCAGTCTCCTGGTCACCCTCTGTGCCCAGACTCTGAGGGCACCTGCATGTGTGATAGGGGCTGTCAAAAACTCCTCATCCATCTGTGGGCTTCTGACTTGCTGTGACCTGGAAAGGCACTGAGCCTTTCTGATGCCTGGTGTATCCTTGACTCTGCAGTGACTTGGGAGAGGCCGCTCTGAAGATCATTGGTGTGACCACGGAAGACGATGGCATCTACACGTGCATTGCTGTGAACGACATGGGGTCAGCCTCATCTTCAGCCAGTCTGAGGGTTCTAGGTAAGTACCCACGCCAGTGGGGCACACCTTTCATGAGTCTGCTGAAGTCCAAAATGTCCCCCACACTTGGCATGGTCAGTAAGTCACTCACAGGGCCTCCGAAAGAGAGCTGGGGAGGCAGCCAGTCTTGGAGGGAGTGATCTTCCAGCATCTTTCCTAAGCTCCAGGGAGGCCCCTGGGGACTCCGGTACTTTGAGAAGGATGAGGGCCACTTGGCCTGCAGAGGCCAGCCTCTGAGCAGACCATGATGCCTCCTGTGCCCTTTGTACCCAAGGTGTGTCCTTTTATCCAGTTTTCCAGCTGACTCTAGATGTAGTCCAAGTTGGCCTCACACAGAATGTAAGCGAAAAAGGAGAAATGAAAAGGGCCAGGGTTGTGGTGGCACAGTGTGGTTAAGCCACCACTTGGGACATCCACATCTTATATAGAATGCTGATTAGAATTTCAAGTACTCTGCTTCCAATCCAGCTTCCTGCAAATGTGCCTGTGAAGGCAGTGGGTTATGGCCCAATTACTTGGGCCCTGCCATCCATGTAACAGATTGCAATGGAGTTCTGGGCTCCTGACTTTGGCCTGGCCCAGCCAAGCTGTTGTGGCCATTTGGGGAGTAAACCAACAGATTGAAGATATCTCCCTCCCCCCATCCCGCTCCCCTTCTCTCCCTCTCCATCACCCTCTCCCTCTCTGCCATTCAAGTAAATCTTTTTAAAACAAAGTCCAAATTAAGAGGGGGATCGAGTCCTGGAGCACTCTGTGTATACACATTAAACAGCTATGTCTAGAACCTCTATCCCATTTACCTAAATTCCATATATTTCAACCTCAGGAAGGGCATGTTCTGATTTTTGGATCATGACGTAAGAAAGAAAAAAGTGAATCTAAGAGTAAAATGTCATTGAATTTCTAATTTTTAAAGGATAACACAGAAATGGTACAGGTAACTTTTTTTGTTTTAATCACAAATGAAAGTTAAAGGAGTTTAGGAAGATAGAAAATGGTGTGAGTGGGGAAACAAGAAGGAAGCATATGATTATTTTAAACATATACATCCATGCACAGCCCTTATGGGAGCTATTGTACAGACCCTTCTAGGGTTACTGTACTTTGTCCAGATTATGCTCCGTGATAATAATTTAATGTTCTAGTATGTTTGGTAGCCAGATAATTCTGCTGTCAGTGTTTCCTGTGTGGGTACACAAGTTGTCCAGGGCATAGGCCTGAGCTCTTCTGGGCCTTGGCTGCCTCCCAGAGCCCCAGTCGCTTTCCCAGAAGTTTAGGAAGCCAAGCCCCACCCGGGGCCTGTCAGAGGGCCCCTCTCCAGTTCTGGCCGCAGGGGAGAATCTGAGGCTGGAGTCCTCAGCCTTACAGCCCTGAGGACACGTACAGCCCTCCTTACCTGTGCCCCAGAGAACAAAACCAAGAGAGCTCTGTGTGCACAAGTCAGCTGTGGTTCCGTTAGTGAGAAAAGAGGAGGTGTGCTTTGGACAAGTGGAGTGGAGAGGGGACTGCTGGTCATTGTGATGCTCTGCATCTTGCCCATTGACATTTATGTTTTATGCACTTTTCTGTACATCAGTAATCTTTGAATGAAGACATTTCTTTAAAAGAAAATGCGCCCTTTCAGAAAAAGAAGAGCAAGAAAAAACATTGTCTTCATGTAGGTAGAAGTCCAGGATTTCTACTTTTTAATTACTTATTTATTTTCATTTTATCTGAAAGGCAGAGAGACAGGGATCTTTCTTTCTTTTTTTAAGATTTATTTTATTTATTTGAAAGAGAGGGTTACAGAGAGAGGTAGAGACAGAAAGTGAGGTCTTCCACCCACTGGTTCATTCCCCAGATGGCCACAACAGCCGGAGCTAAGCTGATCTGAATCCAGGAGCCAGGAGCTTCTTCCGGGTCTCCCACGTGGGTGCAGGGGCCCAAGGACTTGGGCCATCTTCTACTGCTATCCCAGGGCATAGCAGAGAGCTGGAGTGGAAGAGGAGCAGCCAGGACTAGAACCGGTGCCCATATGGGATGCTGGCTCTTCAGACCAAGGCTTTAACCCACTGCGCCACAGCGCTAGCCCAGAGACAGGGATCTTTCATCCCTTGGTTCACTCACCAAATGCCCAGTAGCCAGGGCCTGGCCAGGCTGAAGCCAGGAGCTCAGAATTCAAACCATTTCTCCCCCAAGGATGACTGGGACCTAAGTATTTGTTTCAATATGTACTGCCTCCTTGGATTCTCGTTAGCAGGAAGCTGGATTATAGGCAGAAGATTTACGTCTTAGACCAGGTACTCTGATATGGAGTGCTGGTGTCCCAAGTGGCAACTTAACAGTACACCAAATGCCCATCCTGAAAATCCAGGATTTTTTGATAGAATCTTGTAGGTGTTACAAAATTGTCTGATCCAATAACTTTTTTTAAAGATTTTTTTTAAAGATTTTATTTATTTATTTGAGTGGTAGAGTTACAGACAGTGAGAGGGAGAGACAGAGAGAAAGGTCTTCCATCCATTGGTTCACTCCCCAAATCGCCTCAATGGCCGGAGCTTCGCTGATCTGAAGCCAGAAGCCAGGAGCTTCTTCCGGGTCTCCCATGAGGGTGCAAGGGCCCAAGGACATGGGCCATCTTCCACTGCCTTCCCAGGCCATAACAGAGAGCTGGATTAGAAGAGGAACAGCTGGGACTAGAACCGGCGCCCATATGGGATGCCAGCGCCACAGGCAGAGGATTAACCTACTGCGCCACAGCCCATATAACTTTATAAGTTCCTAATAACTTTATAAGTCAAATTCTATCAGTAATTTTTCTTTTACACAGTAGAAGCTATGATTGAGAAAGTGTTTGCCTACCACAGGAGTTAGTGGCACTATAAGAATTGCTGACATTACCTTTTATAAAGCTTCAGAAAGGAGTGAGAATGGGCTGTCAGTAATTCAAACACACACAGAGAGTTAAATGTGTCGTTGGTTTAGTGACTGAAGTGAGGTCTTTGCCTCCTGCGTATGCCCTGAGTGAGTGCTTAAGGCTTTTTTGTGGGTAGTGCTGACTTCTGTGATGCTCCAGGACTGGTTCACACATGGCTTCATCTGCAGCCAAGTAAAGGCGCAAGTGCTCCCAGAACAACAGTGCTGGCCGAGGGGCACACAGCACCCCCGGTAAATATCCTGCTCTTGTGTGGTGGCAGAGATGGTTTACCACCATGCGGGACTCTGAGAAGGTACATGGAGAAGGGACCTTGAAGGTGTATCAGATTGGATGGTTGAAGGAAACGCATTCTCAGTGACAACCTGGGCAGAGGTGAGGTAGCTCAGGTGAGAATAGGGAAGAGCAGAGGCTTCAGCTGGGCTGACACATGGGGCAGATGTGTGGGCAGAACGGTATGGGGAGAGATGCCAGATGTATAGAGTCCAGAATGCCAGGCAGTGTGGAAGGCTTGCGGACACCCTGGACACCTACTGCCATTTGGCAGCCAAGTTGTTTGGTTGGGACTCAGGGTCTTAATGATTCTTTTTGCAGGAAGACTATAGAAAGAATACTTTATTCATTGGACATTTGTACTTCTAAGTTCATTACTAACAAGTAATATTCAGTTGACACGTGTATAGTAAAATTCTGCCTACCTGTGATTTGGCAACCGGATAAAGCCCTGTGAATGTTATGTGAAGATAATGAACTGTTTTTCTGGGCTATAGAAGGAGATGTAGCTTTAAGGTGGTGTGGCTAGGTGAATAAGAAAAGGCTGTCTGTAGAGTGCTGTTCATTAGAAACAAAATGGAAGTTGAAATGCAACTTGAAACTTTTCCTAGAAAACATGTTTACAAGCTGAAAGAAACAGGAATTTTAGAACATTTGATTTATTCTTGTATATCCAAAGAATTTAATTACAGCATAAAATCAGGATAAGTACCTGGCTCCTGCCATCGGATCAGCGTGGCACGCCGGCCGTGGCGGCCATTGGAGGGTGAACCAACGGCAAAAAGGAAGACCTTTCTCTCTGTCTCTCTCTCTCACTGTCCACTCTGCCTGTCAAAAAAAAAAAAAAAAATCATTAGTGAAGTGTTTTGCATTCTTTTTTCACACTGAGTCTAGAGTGAGTACTTCTGTCACATCTAGGGCACAAATCTCTCAGGGAAGAAACATTTCAGAGGCTCAGCAGCCGCCATGGCTGCCGTTTGGACAGTGCAGGCTGCAGACCCCGTAGCCACGAATCCCTGCACAGCAGGAGCTCAGGGGAGATGCTGCTCTTCTTGCAGGTCCAGGAAGTGATGGGATCATGGTGACCTGGAAGGACAACTTTGACGCCTTCTACAGTGAAGTGGCTGAGCTTGGCAGGTAGGGCATCCGAGCCCCTTCTGGAAGAGCAAGTGGAAGGTCAGCCCGCTGTAGAGCAGGTTGACACACAGTGTGACTTGCCAGCAGGTGGGAAGGACATGTCTCGTGCAGGGAGTGTAACCCGTGATTAGCTGCCTTTGGTTATAAAGCACTGGGGAGCCACGGAAGCCAGTTTCAGCCAGGGCTCCAGGAGAGAGCTGAGGCCTGGTGGTGGACAGGGCTGACTTCTCCCCTGTGCATCTAGGATGGTACTAGCCACGCACAGACCTGGGATAATGCGAATAGCTGATGCTGCTCAAAGCACTGAATTCTCTCAGGGAGTCCCAGCTGACAGGGGTGAATGTGTCCTTCCCACATCAGCTGTGCACGGAGATTGAAGGGAAGGATACCAGTTAGACGAGTGCCAGGGCCCTCTTGCACAAGCTAAGAGGTTTCAACACAGGGTGGCCGATTTGTCAACAGCATGGGCAGCCAAGGCTGGGGTGGCTCCAGAATGCATCAGAAGCCAGGCTCCCACTGATTTCTGCTTGAGCTGTGTGCTCCACACTGCATTACATATCCCCATCACACCCTGCTGCTGCACATGGCACTCACACTTATATATCATACCCACTCTGCACAGCACTCACCCCCACTCCATACCATACTCCACAAAGCACTCACAGCCCACTACACACAGCACTCACACCCCCACCCACATCACACCCACTCCGCACAGCACTCACACCCACTCCATACCATACTCCACAAAGCACTCACAGCCCACTACACACAGCACTCACACCCCCACCCACATCACACCCACTCCGCACAGCACTCACACCCACTCCACACCACACTCCCACCCCCATATCACACCCCACTCCGCACAGCACTCAAACCCACTCCACACCACACTCACACCCCCACATCACACCCCTCTCCACACAGCACTCACACCCCCACATCACACCCACTCTGCGCAGCACTCACACCGCATGTCATATCCACTCCACATAGCACTCTTACACCTACATCACACCCACTATACACAGCAATCACACCCTCACACCACACCCACTCCACACAGTGCTCACACCCCCACACCACACCCACTACACACAGTGCTCAGACCTACTCCACACAGCACTCACACCCAGCATCACACCCACTACACACAGCCCGCTTCCCTCCCACCTCGAATCCTGTGTGGCAGGAAGAAGGAGGTCAGAAAGCCCAAGGACAGCTGGGCTGGCCCCTTTAGGAGCTTTCCAAGAATCTCCACCAGTGGTTCCTATTACATTCCAGAGTCCATAGCTGGGTCCTGTGGCTCCTGGGATGTATCTGCCACATGTTGCTGTGTGGCTAGTCCCACCCACACTTGCTGTCTTATAACCACGGTGATGGTTACTGCGCATCTGCTGTGTCTGGGCTCCGCCCACTGGCACGCCCATGCCTCACTGGTGGGAGTGCTGGCCTCCTTCCACATAGATGTCCACTCTGGGCCTCCTCACACACTGGTAAGAGCATTCAAGCAGAGCAGAAGAAACCTGTGCAGCCTCATAAGGCCCAGCCTCAGAAACTAGCAACTGTACTTGTTCTGTTTCCATGGATCAGAACCCGTCACCAGGCTGTCTAGATTCAAGGGGAGAGAGACTTGTTCCGTGGTGAGAGAAGGACAGGTAGGGCCCTGTCTACCCCAGGCTACCCCTGTTCTAGCTCTTTTACAGTCCTTGCATGCATATGATGTACCTACCTCTCCCTCCCAGATCCCATCCTGTTTTGCATTAGACTCAGGCCTGAGGCTCGAGGCCTGGTCATCAGATCGGGTTGAGGTGCAGTGAAGGATAGGAAAGTGGAGGCAGAGGCTTAGCATTCCCCACTTCTGCCACAGTCAGTGGTCAGAAGCAGCAGGACCTGCCAGGCAAGGTGCAGGAAAACCAGGGCTGCCTCTAGGGGAGTGGTGGTGACTCGCCAGGGACCTAGACACGGGCAGGTTTGGGGTTGCCGTGCTCCTGCAGCCTCTCCAGAGAGAGCCCTGTGCACAGGGGATGGGTCCCCACCCAGCAGAGTGGCCCCACGTCCAGTGCAGTTAGAGTAAGTGTCTGTCCTCCCTGACACACCTCAGCATCCTCTGAAAACTACCTTTGGAACCTATTTTACAGGGGCAGATTCTCTGTCGTCAAGAAGTGTGATCAGAAAGGAACCAAACGAGCAGTGGCCACCAAGTTTGTGAACAAGAAGTTGATGAAGCGCGACCAGGTCACCCATGAGCTCGGGATCCTGCAGAACCTCCAGCACCCACTCCTTGTTGGCCTCCTGGACACCTTTGAGACCCCCACCAGTTACATCCTGGTTCTAGAAATGTGCGTGCACACCCAGCTCCCCCATAGCCCCTAGCCTAAGCTTCCAGTGCTTGTGTTGTTTCTGTTTGCTATCTAAGCACAAAAATGGTTTTTTTTTACATTTCACAGAACTTTTTTTTGACAGGCAGAGTTAGACAGTAAGAGAGAGAGAGACAGAGAGAAAGGTCTTCCTTCTGTTGGTTCACCCCCCAAATGGCTGCTACGGCCGGTGCACTACGCTAATCCGAAGCCAGGAGCCAGGTGCTTCCTCCTGGTCTCCCATGCGGGTACAGGGCCCAAGCACTTGGGCCATCCTCAACTGCCTTCCCAGGCCACAGCAGAGAGCTGGACTGGAAGAGGAGCAACCGGGACAGAATCCGGCGCCCCAACCGGATCTAGAACCCGGGGTGCCGGTGCCACAGGCGGAGGATTAGCCTAGTGAGCCACGGTGCCGACCTCACAGAACTTTTTTTTTTTTAAAGATTTATTTTATTTATTTGAAAGAAAGAGTTACAGAGAGAGGTAGAGCCAGAGAGAGAGGTCTTCCATATACTGGTTCACTCCCCAGATGGCTGCAACGGCCAGAGCTGAGCCGATCTGAAATCAGGAGCCAAAAGCTTCTTCTGGGTCTCCCACTTGGTTGCAGGGGCCCAAGGACTTGGGCCATCTTCTACTGCTATCCCAGGGCATAGCAGAGAGCTGGATCAGAAGAGGAGCTGCTGGGACTAGAACCAGCGCCCATATGAGATGCCGGCGCTTTAGGCCAGGGCTTTAACCCGCTTTGCCACAGCACCGGCGCCTTCACAGAACTTCTTAAAAGTATGCTTTACTGTCAGAGACTGCAGGGCTGGAGTCTTCTGGCAACAGCAAAAGAAGGACAGACATCACTGTGTAGTGCCCAATCCAGGACAACCACCACCAGAATCAGACCAGCCCCTGCCACCCAGGCTCTGCTGGGCCTCGGCCAACCTGAAATCCACTGCTTCCCAGAGCTTCAGAGAGGCCAGGCTGTCTCTGAAACTGATGGCTGTCCCCTCTTTTGCTGTCTGCTCAGGGTGGGCAAGCTAGGTGGGGATGGGATGGGCTCCTCGGAGTTGGCCTTTGTGTGTCCTGTGGACGTCAGCTCAGCTCTAGGCAGTCTGTCTTGCAAGACTCCTGCCAGTGGAAGGCCAACGAGGACAGGAGGGTCAGACTGGGATCCAGAAAGTGCTCCAGCACTGTAGCCAGGCCAGCCCTTCTGAGGCCCTTGAACTTGGGCTTCTGTGTAAGGTCTCAGGACGATTCCGTCTTATGAAGACAAAGTTTGACAGCTATGATCTTAGGTGAGAAGCAGTTCTCACCTAGGGGCAGTTTCACACTGACCCCTTCCCGGGGGCGTTGGAAAGTACCTGCAGAGATTTTTGGTTGTCATAGCTGAGGGTGGGTACTGCGAGGCACAGGGCAGCCAAGCCCAGTGGCTGCAATAAGTGCTCGTCTTTAGCTTTTTAGAAAGTCCTTTCCCTCCTCTTTCTGGGGAGTCATGTCAAGGACTGGGATCCTCCCCTTCTTTTTTTCACTGGCAAGGAAGACACCCTTTGCTGCATTTGGAAAGTCTATGTGTGCTCTTGGAGGAAAAGTACAGGATTAGTGGGACAACCAGCACAGCCCAGCGGCTCACTTGTTTATGGTGTTCTGTCTCTCAGAGAAACAGTAAATGCTTACTCCCTTCCCAGGACAGGTCTGCCACAGAGCCCCAAGCAGCCCTTGGTGAGCCTCGCTGCCTTCCGCCAGCAGCCCCAGTGCCCTGGGTGACCGCGGACATCTCAGGAGGGCCTGCCCACCTAGGGCTGTGCGGTTAGAACCTCCCTCTAGGTGTGGGAGGCTTGTTTTCCAGCCCCTCTCCCTGGAATGGAAAATGTATCTCGCGGTAGAAGGGAGCCCACAAGGCCCTGCCTGCACTGAGCTGTGTACACAGGGAGGCTGTGGACTTGCCGCAGCCCTCTGCCTGATTTCTGTCCTGCTCTCCCTCATTGCTCTTTTCTCCACTCTGATGTCCTTTAAAGTCACACGTTCCCTGGAGGAATGATGCAGGGCTAAAATGAGGTGAAGGGTGTGAAAGAGCCTGCCCTGGAGGGCACCTTTCTAGCTCACAAACTTGGTGACCTAGGGCAGCTGTGCCTCTTCCCTGGGGATTTGGGAGGAGCCTGTCACTGGGGTTCCAGCGCAGGGCCATTGGTGCTGATCTAAGTTTGCTGCTTTCAGCTGTCATTTCTTTTCACTGGAAGACCCCATGGCTTGGCCTCACCACACTCTTAATAGGATTTGTTTTCATGCCAAATTACTACCAAATTCTCTCTGATGACACCCCAGCACTAGATCAGGTGGTTCTCGTCCCTCTCAATTTCTGTTCTTAAACAAAGAGGACAGTACAGGTCAGTGGTCAGAGAGGCCCAGGCCAGATCACCCCAGTCCAATTCTCCTCCACTCACAGGCTGCGGGAGACTGGGAAAGTCTCATGCCTTCTCTGTGCCCTAGCTTCCCAATCAATATAGGGGGAGAGTTAACCACTCAGAGACTTCTGAAGATACAGTGAGTTGACAGAAAGTGTTTGCTCCCTGGGCAGCGCCGTGTGATTTTTCAGTATTAAACGTGAAGACTTTGTGAGTCCAGCATGAAGCACTTGCTGAGCTGCCTCATTGGCAGGCTCTTCGCTTCTGTCACCTCGTTCAGTCTTACAGATGAGAAAACCAAGGTCCCAGGAGGTGGGGAGACCCCCTCCCTTCATCAGATCCCTCCAGAGAGCCCGTGTGTGTCAGGCGCCAGCCCGCCACGTCCCTGTCTCTTGCCTGCAGGGGCAGGGTTTGCGTTCCTGACTGCCCTACCCCACAGTTCCCCTCAGGACTGAAATTCCTCATTCTCAGCTCACATCATCACAGTGAGGGTCCAGAAAGTCACCCTCCTTACCTAGTCACACCTTGGGATGGGGGAAGAATCCCGAGATACTCGTGAAACAATTGCGCACACCCGGGAGAGGCCCAGTGTGTTTATTTTACACTAGCTCAGCGTGTATAAGTTGACATCCTTGTGACCCAGCCGCGTGTTCCTGCCCCTGTAGGGCTGACCAGGGTCGCCTCCTGGACTGCGTGGTGCGATGGGGAAGCCTGACGGAAGGGAAGATCAGAGCACACCTCGGGGAGGTTCTGGAAGCCATCCGATACCTTCACAACTGCAGGATCGCACACCTGGACCTAAAGGTGGGTGGGCCTGTGGCTGGATGAGAGCAGGCCCAACCATGCCCCCAGTTCAGCCATGCAGGACATGGAACTCCATCTTCCATAGGCAGGGCAGGAGATGGGCGACTGGGGTCATATAGGCTGTGGGAGATGGGCACACTGACCCCCGACCTCCATTTCTAAGAGTTTGCAGGTAGTGATGTCCACAGCCGGTAAAATACTAGGTAAACATTTCAGATCCCCCAGCGTTTCATGAAACTTTCAGAAAGTTCCCGTGAATTTTGCAGGGCTAGTGGAGGACTGGTTCCACAGTCAGTTAGAAAGGAAGGAAGGACACATTCTACGTGTAGAGCTGGTAGGGAAGATGAACTCCCTGCCTCCCAGACAACGCCTGAGGCCCTAGCTAGCTGCTTTCCACTGAGCTGGGTCAGCGGTCCCTTTGTTGTCAACACTTCTTCCTCTGTTCCCCGGGCTTGAGGGCCAAAGGCTTCGTCCTGATTTGCACCTGAACACTTTGCTGTAGTTGCCTCTGCAGGTGCCTTCTGCCTCCCGCAGGTGCCTGCCGACCATCACAACTGTGCTTCAGCTTGGGGTTCTTTTGGAAATGACAGTTGTCTTGTCCTGTATTCTAGCCTGAAAACATCCTGGTGGATCAGAGTTTAGCCAAGCCAACAATTAAACTGGCTGACTTCGGAGATGCTGTCCAACTCAACACGACCTACTACATCCACCAGTTACTGGGGAACCCCGAGTTCGCAGCCCCCGAAATCATCCTTGGGAACCCTGTCTCCCTGACCTCGGACACATGGAGTGTTGGAGTGCTCACATACGTGCTTCTTAGCGGCGTGTCCCCCTTCCTGGATGACAGCGTGGAGGAGACCTGCCTGAACATTTGCCGATTGGACTTCAGTTTCCCAGATGACTACTTTACAGGAGTTAGCCAGAAGGCCAAGGAGTTCGTGTGCGTCCTCCTGCAGGAGGACCCTGCCAAGCGCCCCTCGGCTGCGCTGGCCCTGCAGGAGCAGTGGCTGCAGGCGGGCAGTGGCAAAGGCTCAGGCGTCCTCGACACATCGAGACTGGCATCCTTCATCGAGCGGCGCAAACACCAGAATGATGTTCGACCTATTCGGAGCATTAAAAACTTCTTACAGAGCAGGCTTCTGCCTCGAGTTTGACCTATCTTGAAGTTCTTTCTCATTCTCTTTCACCTGCCAATCAGCTGTTCATTTGAATTCCGAAGAGAAACAAAAGAAAACAAACCTAGGTGACCAGCTGCCGGTGTGTTGATCGTGTGAAGTTGCATTCCAAGTGAGCTGCCTGGGGTGGAGGACTTCAGTCACGCTCTGCGGAGGCAGAGGTCGCATTGCTGTATCACAGTATTTTATTCAGGTTTCTGCAAAAAAATAAAAAATAAAAATAACTTTTTTAAATGAACATGAATAGAATTTTGCAAATTTAACATTTTCAAGATTTATTCAAGAAAACACAATGCCTATGTTCAACCACTGGTATTAATGAACAAAACAAAGATACTGTACATCTCTGGGGAAGCAGCGCCCAGGTGGTGGCCCTTGGCCAGTGCCCAGTGGCCACCTGGCACTATGCCTTCCCAGCCGCCTTGTCTGCGTGCACCCCGCCACACGCCAGACCTGGCCTCCGAAACATGCATTCAACCTCAAACTTTTGCATAAAATAGAATGAATTGTTTTGCTCTGATGAAATGTAGGCCTTACTTGTATATAAGACTGTTCCTGCCTCCGGTCTGTCATTTCCCCCCCTACCTGCCCTTCCCACCTGCTCCCCAGCCCCGCCTGGGGCTTCTTCCTCAGAGTCTGAGGGTCTGCCCATCAAATGGAGACATCAGGTTGGGTCCTGCCCCACTGCCCCCTCCCCTGTTCCCACCCTAAGCCGTCAATCAGATTGTTGAGCAGTATACAGTCAGATGAAAATACTGTAAATGCACTCATTGGGGGTTTTTTTGTTGTTGTTTTATTTCATATCATGTGCAATGTTGTGGCTTTAACATTTTATGCAACTATTTATGGAGACCTCTGTTGTACCTGTAATAAATATATAGAAAAAGCACATACTTCGTATAGTGAGCTTTATGGTTTTGTGTGTGTGTGGGAGTGGGGGGTGGGGGGAAGGGTCACAGCCCTGTGCCATCGGTTCAAGGAGACTCAACTCCTCGTGAAAATTGTCAGTTTTGAAGATTGTAAAAAGTGATTTCATACTCTGAATATAAAACTGGATAATAGGGTAATGTTTTAAAGTTTATTATGCTATTATTCAGAATGCCAAAGTATTATTTTTTTGTCCCAAAATCAGTCTGGACATTTACTACTTTTTAGACTTTTTGACGTTCAACTTTCTGTACAAAAATTGGCTGGATTTTGAGCTTTTGGTAAGAAATAAAAGCCAATTAAGCACTGGCCCCTCTGAGGCTGGTACCCAATGCCCGAGTCACTGTGGCAGAATCAACGCTGGTGCAGGGAGTCCTTTCCACAAAAGAGGCTGCAATTCTGGGCACACTTGAGTTTTTTGGATGTCTTTTTATCTTTGCTGTGTGACGTACACTAAAAGGAGGCCAGCCTGCTCCCCAAGCCAGCCAGACACCTGGGTCTTTTGAGCCATAAACTGGCATCGTTAAGCTTCACAGCTTCCAATGTATTTTATTTATTCTTTTGTTGGGTTTTTGTTTGTTTCTTCTTGTAAAATTGTACAGAAACTTTTTAAAAGAAATTGGATTCAAAACTGGATGTGTATTCGTAACCTCATAACTTTTATTTGTGTATTGTTTCTTTTATTATTTCAGTTAAATTTTTGCATTATTTTGCATGTATATTTCTTTGTACAGAGACCTTACATGTTTACACAGTATGATGTGATGTAAATATTTTATTTTGCCATCAGTTATTTTAAAAAATTAAACATATTTGCCTGATTTTTGTGTTAGACCTTTTATTTACATTGATCACTATTGAATCAGAACAAGAGATCTGAAGGAGAGGCCTTTTGCGGTGGGAGGGTTCAGAATATTCTACATTTGGAATATGCCGTTGAGGACCAGAAATAGGAGTCAGCCAGGCTCCTGCAGACTGGTTTGCAGAAACAAAACTCAGGACACTGGTGTAATTACCAGAATGTCAGCTGACTGAGGGGCTACAGCACATCCTTGTTAGAATATCTGAGTGTCCCCTCCCCACTGATGAATGCAGAATCTAAGCACAAGGAAGACCTGTTACCTCCAGGCTTCAGAAAGCAAAGTTCATGTCCAGATCAAGACAAGAAAATGAAACAGTCGGGTTCAGGCAACATATAGTGAACAAACCAAAGATCCTGTACATATGGAAAACTCTTCCCCACCCAGCCCCCCTGTGGGTGGCTGTCTCTTAGCCCCTGGCACCAGAGTTCACTGGGTCCTGGGGGACTTGGAGTTCAGGTTTTCCTCTACAGGGCTCTCACCAGTGTGGCTTCTTAGCTCTGCTGGCCCCCTGCTGCTGACAGTTGCTTTTCCTCCTGACCAATAAATATTGTCTCTCTTGTTTTGATTCTGTGTGGCTTTCCTTTCTGGAATGGTGACTTCTTGTTCCATACACCATAAACAGCAGGGTTTTTCCTTTCAACTGTTGGCTGGAATCCTGCATGGAAGACCATTGGGAAAGGATGACATTCGTGCTAAGGCTATAAGTCAGGACATGGAATGCTGACTCCTTGCCGTGTACACTCCCCTCCAGGCCATTCCTGTCATGTGGACTCAGAGGGGAGCAGGAATTCAAGGTGTGTTCAATTCAAGGTGTGGTTTGTTTTTTTGTTTTGTTTGGTTTTGTTTTTAAGATTGATTTATTTTACTTGAAAGAGTTAGAGAGAGAGATCTTCCAACCGCTAGTTCATTCCCCAGATGGCTGCAGTGGCCAGGGCCAGAAGCTGCATCCAGGTCTTCTACATGAGTGACAGGGGTCCAAGGCCTTGGGCCATCCTCTGCTGCTTTTCCCAGGCCTTCAGCAGGTAGCTGCATCGGGAGTGGAGCAGCAGCCAGGACTTGAACCAGAACCCATATGAGATGCCGGCATCACAGACAGTGGCTTCATCTGCTGTACCACAATGCCAGCCCACAAGATGTGTTCTAATGCACCAACTGGGACATCGGACCAAACACAGTTCCAAGCTCAGCAAGAGAGGGAGACGAGGGATCTGCAGTGTTTTACCTTTCACGGGACACTTGCTGGATGAAGTAGTTCACCTATAAGACTGGCAAAAGGAGCTCAGATGTTTCATTTTTCATGGTTACTATCTCAGTTTTTTTCCCTCAAATATCAAATGTCTTGCATTCTGTTTGTTATTCTTTATAGGGTTTTTTTTTTTTTTTAAGTACGTACAATCTCTTTAGTCCGAAGGGTTGGAAAACCACCAGGGTCTCAGCAGTATAAATCATGGGCATACAATCCATCTTAGATCTCTGGGAGAAGATTCTTTCAGCTGTGCATTTTTGAGGGATAATTGTAGAGACAAATTTGTAAAACTGATAGAATGCTTCTCAGACTTATGTATGAGATTATGAAATTAATCTTGCAGGAAATAAACTATGCAAATTATAGGAATATAACACCATAAATATTTACACATGGATTCCTGTGGTGCCACCCAACACAAAATACAGAATATTTCCATCATCTATATCCCTCACAGATTCTCTGCCACAGGTGATCAGTGTTCTGATCGCTGTTGCCCATAGACAAGTTGGTCTTTGAACTTCTTAGAAAGAATCATATGGTGTGGATTTAAGAGTAGGTTAAACTTTTTATTTTGAGATCTGTGGATTCACATGCAAGTGTGTGAAGTGTACCCTCACACAGTCATCGCCTCTGATGAGCTATGACACTGACAAGAGCAGGATATCGGCGTTGATGCAGTCAAGATGCAGAACTTGCCCAGCAGCAGCACGACCTGCCTGCCTTCTGCAGCTCCGCCCTGCTTTAACCCCACCAACCACTCACCTGGTCCTCATTTCTGTGATTCTGTCATCTGGAGGATGTTACATAAAGGAGTGATACAGGATGTAACCCTTTAGAGACAGCTTTTTTCCACTGAGTATAATTCTCTGGAAATTCATCCTGGAGGTTGTGTGTAGTGGCGGATTTTCCTTTCTGTTAATAATTAGTAGTCTGCAGTACAAATGTGCTGTAGTTGAATCATTCTCATTCATCCATTGAAGGACAACAGGTCTCCCAGCTTTTGACTTAGTCGGAAAAAAAAAAAAAGCTATGCACATTCATGTACAGGTTTTTGCAAATGTAAGTTTTAATTTCTCTTGGATAAGATAACTGACAGTTCATGTTGGAACTGAAATTTAATTTTTAAGGAATTATCAGACTACAGACTGTAGCATTTTACATTCCCACAAGCAACATATAAGTAATGCAAGGGCTTTTTGCATCCCACCAGCAGTTAGTGTTACTATTTATTTTAATTTTTTCCCCCAGAAACCTTTTACATAAGGAATATGAACTCCATACATTTCGTAAGTACAACTTCAGGATTCCGCCCACCGTACCCGCCCTCCCACCCACTCTCCCACCCCTCTTTCTCCTCCTCCTTCTATTCCATTCTTATTTTGACTGAGATCTATTTTCAATTAACTTTTTTTTTTTTTTGACAGGCAGAGTGGACAGTGAGAGAGAGACAGAGAGAAAGGTCTTCCTTTGCCGTTGGTTCACCCTCCAATGGCCGCCGCGGCTGGCACTGATCCGATGGCAGGAGCCAGGTACTTTTCCTGGTCTCCCATGGGGTGCAGGGCCCAAGGACTTGGGCCATCCTCCACTGCACTCCCGGGCCACAGCAGAGAGCTGGCCTGGAAGAGGGGCAACCGGGACAGAATCCGGCGCCCTGACTGGGACTAGAACCTGGTGTGCCGGCGCCGCAAGGCGGAGGATTAGACTAGTGAGCCCTGGCGCTGGCCGTTCAATTCACTTTATACATATATGAGTAACATAAAGTAAAGAGTTCAACAAATAGTATGGAAAAAAAAAACTGTTCCTCAACAGTTGAGACAAGGGCTGTCCAAAGTCATTGCTTCTCAGAGTGTCAATTTCACTTGTATAGATGACTTTTTAGGTGCTATATTGGTTATCACAGGCAGAGAGAATATATGATATTTGACCTTTGAGGACTGGCTTATTTCACTAAATATGATGTTTTCCAGTTTCATCATTTTGTTGCAAACGACTGGATTTCATTTTTTTTAACCTCTGTGTAGTATTCCATGGTGTACATGTTCCACAATTTCTTTATCCAGTCTTCAGGTGACAGCCATTTGGGTTGATTCCATATCTTAGCTGTTGTGAACTGAGCTGCAGGAAACATGGGGATACAGATCACTCTTTCATATGCTGATTTCATTTCCTGTGGGTTTTATGTATTTCCGTTTTATTGGAAAGGCACAGAGGCAGAGAAGGATCTTCCAGATATTGTGACTGGGTGAAGGGTACATTTCACACTCTCTTGTGTGAATCTACAATGATCTCAAAGTCTTTCTATGAATTTCAAAGGCTGACTCATCTATGATAGCAATCAGAACACCTGTGGCAGAGAGATCTTCAAGGGATATAGATAATAGAAAAATTCTTTTTGTTCTTTGGATCACATCACAGAAATGTACATGTGTAAATACCTACTGAGCCATATTCTTATGAATTGTGTGCTTTATTTCCCGTAAGTTAAATCTCATATAAGTATATATAAATGTGAGAAGCATTCTATCAGTTCTACACATTTGTCTCTGCAATTAGGTCTCAAAAAACTCATCAGAGTCCTCTGTTGCCTTCATTTTACTGCTTTGAGTGAATTCTAGAAACCTTATTCTAAATCTCATTACAATCCTCTGCTAGTAATTGGGGTTCTGTTTTTAGCGGACAGATAACATTGTATGTTTTTATCATATTGTAATTTTAAAAAATATGTCCTCTATTTACATTTAGAACCACATCATGCAATGCTACAGTTTTTACTTCAAACATGAAATATTTACCTATACTTTTGCATTTGGAGAGTGAACCAGTGAATGGAAGACCACTCCCTCTCCCTCC